GCGCCTGACAGGGAGGCTGGGCGAGGGCTGGGACCTGCCCTCCTGGGAGCTTGGGGAGAGCCCAGCCACACACAGTGATCCCTTTACTCCTTCATCATCAGAGAACTTGCCAGTACACGCTTCAGGCTCTTCCATCCCAGACTCTGAGGACGGTCACAGGGACATGTGCACTATAATTAAATGAAATAATGCAGTACCTCGCCCAATATAAGTGGGCCCCCAAAGTCTCCAATTATGATGAGCTAACCTAACTGGAAGGGTCGAAGTCAGGGAGGACTTCCTGGGGGAAGAGGAGGTATCAGAGCTCAGCCTACCTCCCTAGAGAATCATTGACAGGCTTTAAGCAGGAGAGTGTCTTTGAACCTTGGCATTGGCCTCAGCCTCCTGAGACTTCCGGAGTTCATGCAACTCCACCTAACCCTTTTTCCCCCTGATCTTTTTATGGGTTAATTTTTTGTTTTAATTAAAGATTTTTATTTATTTTTTGACAGAGAGAGAGAGATCACAAGTAGGCAGAGAGGCAGGCAGAGAGGGAGGGAGAAGCAGGCTCCCCACCGAGCAGAAAGCCTGATGTGGGGCTCGATCCCAGGACCCTGAGATCATGACCTGAGCTGAATGCAGAGGCTTTAACCCACTGGGCCACCCAGGCGCCCGTATAGGTTAATTTTTAATGTTTAATATTTCAGGAGCGCCTGGGTGGCTCAGTCAGTTAAGTGTCTGCCTTTGGCTCGGCTCATGATCCCAGGATCCTGGGATCGAGTCCTGCATCAGGGTCCCTGCTCAGCGGGGAACCTGCTTCTCCCTCTCCTTTTGCTGCTCCTCCTGCTTGTGCACTCGCTCTCTCTCTGTGTATCAAATAAATAAAATCTCCTTAAAAAGCAAAATAAAATAAATTTTCAGGGCAGCCTGGGTGGCTCAGTGGGTTAAAGCCTCTGCCTTCGGCTCAGGTCATGATCCCAGGGTCCTGGGATCGAGCCCCACATCAGGCTCTCTGCCTGCCTCTCTGCCTGCTTGTGATCTCTGTCAAATAAATAAATAAAATTGTTTAAAAATATAATAAAATAAAATAAATTTTCAATCCATCTAGACTTACGAAAATCATATGAATACTTTCACATCTATTCCACAGTAGAGGGAAAGTTTAATGAATGCCCGCGCACCCATCACCCGCCTCTCACCCCTTAACTTTCGGGAACAAACACAGGGCTGCCAAATTTTAATTGTATCAAGTAATGACTTTTTAAAAAAATGTTAAGTCATGATTTTTTTTCCCAAAAAAACACCTTGTACTATTACCATCATTTCATAAAAGAAAGGACATTTTAACACATCCATACACCCAGATAGAAAAAGGCTTTAAATTGAATAAGCTCAGCTTGGAGAAACCAGCCACCCATTATCATTCCTGCTGTCCCGTCCCAGGGCTCAGACCCGGTCTGAGGGCTAGAGTGAGGCCACCCTGGCGGAGGTGGGCAGGTCCTGGGCCAAGTCGCCTGTGAGCGGAGGGTCAGGTCCCTCGAGGGGGGCCCAATGACGGGAAGAGTCAGGTGATTGTCAAGAAAGAACACTGCAGGAGCCACGTCCCACCCAACACCCCCAGCCCCCAGGTTTCTCAGGGACAGAACTTTCCACACCTGCCACATCCCTGTTCCCCAGCATCCTGCCTGACAGCAGACATGACCAAGATCTGGCCATGTGGGTTTTGTTCAACCATGCAGGGCAGTGGAAGACCCAAGGGGGCTGCTGGGCCCGGGGCAAGGAGGAGCTCCACACACATTCTGGAAGACGGCTGGAGGGCTGAGCCAAACAACTGATAGGGCCAGTGGGGAGTGAGACCCCGCAGGACTCCAGAGACGGACGACAGAGACTTGGGGAGTAGTGGGTGTCACTGCAGAGGGGAGGCGGTTCGGAGGGAAGGGGGAAAGGATTGAGCAGTGCCCAGATGTCGGCACTATTCCTTGTGTAGAGGAGTGGTTGAACAAATGAGTGAAAAAAATTCTGGTTTAATTATTTTCCCCCAGACCGTGGTCTCCTCAACTACGAACTGGGGGACACCATCCACTTAGCTGGGCTGTTGTGAAGTTTAAATGAAATAAGCCAAGTTAACCTCACCCCCTCATTTAAGACACAGCTCAGGGGCGCCTGGGTAGCTCAGTTGGTTAAGCGTCTGCCTTCAGCTCAGGTCAGATCCCAGGGTCCTGGGATGGAGCCCTGCATCGGGCTCCCTGCTCAGTGGAAAGTCGGCTTCTCCCTTTCCCACTCCCTCTGCTTGTGTTCCCTCTCTTGCTGTGTCTCTCTGTGTGTCAAATAAATAAAATCTTAAAAAAAAAAAAAAAGAAGAAGACACAGCTCAGATAGCACCTCCTCCAGGAAGCCCTCCCTGCCCTCCCATCTGAGGAGGATATTTTCTCTGGGTCCCCATATATCTCAACACAGTGCTCCGGCCCTCAGCTCTGGAAACTGTCTGCAGCACCGTCAAGAGAGGAGCCCCCATCTGACTCATCTCTGGGTCCCCCAGCATGGGATGTAAGTGCAGGGATCTGCACATATTGGGTGCCGACAGATTCACTTGGAAGAGAGCAGGCAGAGCAGGTCAGCCCCCATTCCTCCCAGCTGACCTCACGGCAGGAAAGGGTCCAGCAGCGTGGCTTCTGGAGATAGGCCTGGGTGCTGGGGGGAGGGAGAGGAAGGCCGCAGAGTGTGTCTCCACCCGCCCCTCAGCCCATGCTGGCTGTCGCCAGGGGTCAGCAGCACAGCCCACTCCTTCTTCACCCCTGGCCCGATCCCTGGCAGGCCCTAGGGGAACAGAGGGAACCCCCGCCACGCATGAGGGAGAGGAAGGGCAGGAGAGTGAACCCCCACGACGCAGTTCCTGCTTTGGCGTCAGCCACGTCCCGCAGCCCCTCTGCCCCGCGTGGCACGAGTGCTGTCATTCGCACCTCAGGGCTCGTGGCCCGACCTGGAAGAACAGGAACCCCCCAGCCCCTGCAAGCAGCTCCCTGGGCCGGAGGGCCCCACCACGGGCCTGAGCGCTCGGGGTGTTCCCTCGAGGTCTGTGGGTCCTTAGCTGTGTGACCTTGGGCAAGCCTGTCACCTCTCTGGGCTTTAATAGGCCATGGCTTTCATTTACCAAGGGGGTACTACCTGCCGAGCGCTTACTGGGCAAGGCTTCTCTCCCGATAGGCATGGTCTCATGGAAGCCTACCACAGTCCTAGAACGAGGGTGACACTGCTCTTCTTTTTTTTTTTTTTTTTTTTAAAGATTTTATTTATTTATTTGACAGATAGAGATCACAAGTAGGCAGAGAGGCAGGCAGAGAGAGAGGAGGAAGCAGGCTCCCTACTGAGCAGAGAGCCCGATGCGGGGATCGATCCCAGGACCCTGGGATCATGACCTGAGACGAAGGCAGAGGCTTAAACCACTGAGCCACCCAGGCGCCCCGACACTGCTCTTCCTTAACGGGTGGATGCGGCCAGCAGGGTGAGACGAGTGAGGCGAAGCTGGCCTTCCTTCCAGGCAAACCCAATCCCTCCTGTCTGCCAAGGGTCCTTTAGCGTAGGTCCCCACCAGGTGGCACAGCAGCCCTGGGGCGGCACTCGGGCCTGGACTCCTGTGCTCGCTCTTGGCTTGCAGCAATGGCGGGTCACCTAACCCTCTTGTCTCCAGTGTCTGCTCTTGGTCTCAGGGGTTTCACCACCCATGCCAACTGTGACCTCAGGGAACTCCTGGGTAACGGGGTGGGGGAGGGGCAGCTCCCTGGAAGTCTAAGGAAACCAGGCCTGGCGACTTGCATGCCTGACGTCCCCAGCTCTGTCCCCTGGTCAGGCGGTCTTGGGAGCACCAAGGGACACCACCTTTCCCAGACTGCCTCCCCAGCACTGGGGCCCCAGCATCTCAGTGTCCTGGGATTTCCCCATCCCAGAGGCTGTCACCTTCACATTCCAGGCCCTGGGGGTTGGCCCAGGGTTTGATCCCCAGTCCTGCTGGGAAACCCTTCTTCTAGCTCTTTGTGTTGATTCTTAAGTGCAACGTGTGCCCGGGACTCCCACCAGTGGTGATTCTTCTCTGACCTCCCTGTGACATTCCGATCGCGGGTAGGCCCTTCCTGCCTGGCACGGCCGTGAGTCGGGGGGAGGGCAGCCAGGCCTCCTCATGACTCATGACTTTGTGACTTCTCAGTCTCCTGCAGCCTGGAGAACCCCACCCCGCCCCGCCCAGGGGCAGGCAGCAGGCCCCATCTCTTGGTCTCCTCCCGTACCACCCCAGTGGGTAACAGGACAGGCCTGGGGCTGTGTTTATTGACTGTCTCTGTGACGACCAGGCTCTCTGGGGCCTGTCTGCTGGAAAGGACAGGGCGGCAACCAGGGAAGGCAGGAGAGCTGGGAGGTTCCCACCCGACCCTGGGCCAACCACTGGGGTCCACACGGAGGGTGGGGCCAGGAGGGATCCCCTGCTGGCAGAAGCCGGGGCGGCCACACACACAGATCAGATGGAAGCAGAGACTGGCCAAGAAATAGCTCAAAGCCCAGGTACGTAATCTGTAGAGCCCAGTGCAAAACGAAAACGCAGGGCCTCTTAAAAACCACTCCGAGGGGCGCCTGGGTGGCTCAGTGGGTAAAGCCTCTGCCTTCGCCAGGGTCCTGGGATCGAGCCCCACATCGGGCTCTCTGTCTGCCTCTCTGCCTACTTGTGATCTCTCTGTCACACAAATAAATAAATAAAATCTTAAAAAAAAAATTTAAAAAACTATTCCGAATTTCAGCATGGGCAACAGCGGAGCACGTAAGAAACAGGGGCCCTTCATGATGGCACAAATCAGGCCTCCTGCCTGTGCGCCTCCACCCCAGGATTCTGCCTACCTTGTGGGGGCCTGATAAAGACACGGTGCTCAGGAGGATGAGTGCACAACTCTGACAGCTGTCCAGGGGAGGGCGGAGGCTGGGATCGCCTCTGTGAGGACACTCGATTCAAAAACACACAAGGCACAAAAGAATGGCAGTGACGTTTTAAAAAAATTAAGTTTATAAATATTTTCTCCACTGTACAAAGTTTTCCCAGCCCTCCCACCCCCATCACTGTTCACATTCCTCATGTTTTTAAAATCCCCACTATATTTATTTTTTTAAATCATAAAATATATTTTTTTCTTTGTTCATATTTAAAACTATTTACAAGGGGGCAGAGAGGCCAGGGGGGGCCTCGCAGAGGTCAGGAGGAGTCCGTGCAGGGGGACGGAGGGGGAGGGAAGAGGTGGAAGTAGCTCCTCTCGGTGGCGGGCGAAGGGGGGCAGCTGTCCTCCGCTGACAGGTACTGGCTGTGGGGCGTGGGCGGAGGGGGGTAGGGGTCTGAGTCCGAATTCAAATCCAGGTAGTACTTGCTGGCCTTCCAGCGGTTGGCGCTGTAGTCGCTGTCGCAAACATCCGTGCTGCAGGGCGTCGTAGGGGGGGCCATGCCTCGGATAATGTAGGGCCTAAAAGGGACACAGCGGAGTGGGCCCTCGGCTCAGGGAAGAGACACAGGGGCCCCTCCTTTGGGTGTGGTCTCTCGGAGCCACAAGTCCCCACCTCTAAAGTGGGCGTGCCCGCACCCAGTGTTGGCGGGGAGGCCCTGCCAAGGACTGCCGCCCCAGGCCAAGGTTGCCTTTATGGAGAAGGGCTTCCAGAGCCTGCCTGGTGGGCCTTGGATGACTTAACTCCTCTGGGCTTCAGTTTCACCTTCGTAAAATATGGGTGAAACAGTACCCGGTTCCAAAGGGGCTTGTGAAGGGTCAATGAGATTCTGCATGGAAAGTGCTAGAAACAGTGCTGGACACCAGGGAGTGCTTGACAACTGTTCCCCATTATATCATTCCTATAAATATCAGAGACCACTGGGCCTGGAAGGGGCCCCTGTTGAGTTAAGGCACTCCGACCCAGGAGGTGGCTCCCAGACATCTCCTGCACCCCCAGGTTCTAGGTGGGGCAGCCGCAGGGCCCGAGCTGGGGGTGGGGACTGGAGTGTGTTTCAGAGCCCCAGAGGGCTCATGAGGGCGAGGAGGTGCAGTTAGCACCTTGGGGCCCGTGCAGGACATGTGGTACTGAGAAGGTGCAGCGGGAGGACCCGGGAGGGGCAGGAAGGGACCGTGACAGGCAGGGGTGGGGAGGAAGCGGCACAAACATCAATGTAAGGAATAAAGCCGGGGGTGGGCCAGAGGCTAAGGGGTCTGGCGAGTGTGTGTGACAGCCTGGGGACACACGAGGGCGCTGAGGCACTGGGGGTGGGGGTGGAGGGGGTGGAACCACTGAAGGTTCCTGACTCAGGCAGTGACCCAGTAACAAGGGGCCCCGCTCCTCTTCAGGCCCCAGAGTTCCTGAAACGGCCACCAGATGGCAGGCGAAGCCACGCTCTGAGTCTCCACACCGGCCACTCCAGCGGGGAGGAGGAGGGGGAGGAGGGGAGAATGGGGAGGAGGGGAGGAGGATTGGAGGAAGGAGAGGGAGAGGAGGGAGAGAATGTGGAGGAGGAGGGGGAGGAAGGGAGGAGGAAAGGAGGATGGGGAGAGGGAGGAGAGGGGAGAAGGGGGGGAGGGGTCTCCACTCCCAAGCCTCTGCCTCCACCTGTCCCCAGGTAGCACCTGTGGGGTAAGGGGTCCAGGACACCCGTGCGGAAGGCCACCTCAGGCCCTGACCTGGCCCCTGGACACAGGCCAGCAGCACACCCAGATCCCTCTTCTCAGCATTCTCAAGTGTCCCCCCAACCCAGGGAGGTGGGGAATGCAACCCCAGCTGGACAACCTGGGGGACGAGCAGACCTGCGGGGTTCCAGGTAGTGGGTCGCGAGAGAGGATCGTCCCACTGAGGGCCCGCAGTGGCAGGGGCCAAGACAGCAGTTACGTGACTTGGATCTGATCCTTCGGGGACAGTGGCAGCAGGTGGTGGCACTGCCGCTGCGTCCTGCAGCTGGCTTCAGACACAGGCAAACCTTCGCCCCTGGGTACTGGCCTCCATGGGCAGTGGGGGCCCGGCCAGGTCACGGTGGGAAGCCCTGGTGGTGTCATTCAAGGCCTCACCTGTCCGGGCATGTCCCCACTGAACAGAACACCCCCAGAGCTCCTTCTGGATTCCAGAGCCTGGTCCAAACACGGGATTTGGTTGGTTTCTGGAACTCCACAGGCAGGCCCGGTTCACTCCATGGGGAGGCAAGCCAGGTATGGTCTGAGGGCCCAGGAGAGCCCACCAGCACCCTGGACCTCTCTGCCAGGTTTTCTCACCCAGGAAATGGGGACAAGGCCCCTCCTGTATCATAGGCTTGTCGGGAGGCCCAGCCGGCCAGTGGGTGCAGGGTGGTGGCAGGGACCTCGTACCTGTAGGGTCTCGCAGTGGTGGGAATGTTTGAAGAGTAGAACATGTCCACGTTGTACAAGGATGGGTCCGTGGCGGGGGATGGCGGAGGGTTCAGGATCTGAGAAGAGCCAGGCAAGGGTTACGGCCTTCTGGTGTTGCCCCCCGCCCCCCAGCGGGTCTGCACAGGAATCAACAGCTGTCCCCTCAGCCCTGAAGGCTGTCACAGCAGTGCCTGTGGCCCAAATACCGCCTGTAGACCCCATGACCCCAAGCCCACACCCAGCCACAGATGTCCCCGCAGGCCCTGGGGTGTCCTCTGGTGCCAGCGGGCGCCTCACGAGGCTCCTCTGGGACTTCTCCCACTCCCCTTTTGGACTCTGACTCCCCACCTCTCTCCACATGGTGCGAAGACGAAGTCCTACAAGAACTTCCTTATTCCTAATGCAGAGGTGGCTCCGAGTTCTGGCTGGAACCCTGATCTGGTACAGGGGTCGCCCTGCTGAGGGACGGGCCCTGGCCCCACACGGCCCCACCACACAAATCAGGGAAAGGTGCCCCTTTCTTGGGATGTATTGCCCCAAACTGCGATGATGAACACGATGCACCCTCCAGAGCCTGGCAGCCCATGGCCGGCCCCACAGAGGGACAGAGGGACTTGAGGCCCCTGGTGACACACCCCGTCTGTGTCTTCCCCAGCAGCCGCCACCGGTAACACCCCACCCACCACACGGCCCTTCTGAGCATGCAGGCTTTTATGGGGTCACAGCCGGACCCGGCTTCTGGGGCTCCCACAGCTGAATGGGAACATGGCTGTCACCATGTGTCCGGAGGGACTGGAGGGCAGCAGAAAGGGCACAGCCTTTCCCGACAGGCAGATGGGTATGGGCCCTGATCAACCACTTCCCAGCTGCGGCATGGCCCCTGGTGACACGTGGTGAGTAACCCATAAGAAGTGCCCTTTGTGGGACGCCTGCGTGGCTCAGTCGGTTAAGTGTCTGCCTTTGCCTCGGATCATGATCCCAGGGATCTGGGATCGAGTCCCACGTCAGGCTTCTTGCTCGGCGGAGAGCCTAATTCTCCATCTGCCTGACGCTCCCCCGGCTTGTGCTCTATCTCACTCTTTGACCAGGAAAGAAAAAAAAAAAAAAAAAAAAAAAAGAAATGCCCTTTGGGGAGTAGCAAGAGCCCCCCCACTCCTTATCCTGGGGACGGTCCTCTCTGGCCCAAAGAGCCAGCCTGGGGATTCCTCGGGATTTGTCCCCAGAGTTGGGAGTGCACGATACTGAGGGGGTGTCATTCAGAAGGGGGAACAGGAACCCGGCAGGGAAGCCCAGCAGAAAGGGCCTCCTAGATCCGCCCCCCGGCACCCTGTGCCCTTGGGGTCCTGCTTCCTCTTCTGCCCATAAATCTGACTGTATCTGGTTTCCCCTCCCCTCGTGCTCCGAGGTGAGCTTTGGGATTCTGCCCACATCCCTTCCTCTGCGGGGGCGGGGGGTGGGTGCTGCCTCCCCCAGCACTGTCCCCGGGGGCTCTTCCCAAGTTCCAGGGGGCGGCCCTCTGCGACGTGGGCTCAGGAGAGCGCCCCCTTCTGGTCGGGTTGACAGAGCGCGGTGGTTCGCAGGGAGCGCAGACCAGCTCGATGAAGCCAGCCCTTAGTGGCTATCCTTGCCTTCAGATGATGTCGTGTGGGTTCCAGAGTACACGTACGAACCTACTCTGTGATCCTGGAATGGCACACCCGTGTCCCCGCACGCTAGTCCGAGCCCACAGAACGCGCCCAACCAAGAGTGAGCTGTCCTGCTGGCGGTGGCCTTGGTGTGATTCTGATGTGTCCACGCGGGTTTGTCCGTTAGTATATCACTCTGGTGCAGGATGGTGACAACGAGGGAAGCTGTCCACATGGGGAGCAGGAGGCATGTGGGAAACTTCTGCACCTTCCTCTCCATTTTGCTATGAACCTAAACTGCCCTTAAGAAACAGCATTTTTTTTTTCTTAAATTAGAGAGAGCACACAAGCAGGGGGAGCAGCGGGCAGAGGAAGAAGCAGGCCCCCCACTGAGCTAGAAGCCCAACATGGGGCTGGATCCCAGGACCTTAGGATCATGACCTGAACCGAAGGCAGCCACCCAACCGGCTGAGCCACCTGGGCGTCCCAAGGAAGAGTCTTAAAAACAAAAAAAAGTGCATTTGTGAAACTGGCAAAATCTGAACAGAGCCAAAAACATCCTATCAGGAGCGCCTGGGTGGCTCAGTGGGTTAAAGCCTCTGCTTTCGGATCGGGTCATGACCCCAGGGTCCTGGGATCGAGCCCCGCATCGGGCTCTCTGCTCAGTGGGGAGCCTGCTTCCCTCTCTCTCTCTGCCTGACTCTTTGCCTACTTGTGATCTCTGTCTGTCAAATAAATAAATAAATAAAATCTTTAAAAAAAAAATCCTATCAGTGCCCTACCACTTATGTTGTACCACTGCTCTAGAGTGAATACTTGTGTCCCCCCCAGAGGCCTGTGCTGAATCCTAACCCCCAATGTGATGGCATCAGGAGGTGGGCCCGGATAACAGACCCCGTTGTGTCCCGTCAGGAGGATGAGGCCGCCTTCTGTGAACCAGGAATGGGGCCCCCACAAGACCCCAAATCTGTCAGCACCTTGATCTTGGACTTCGCAGCCTCCCAAACTGTGAAAAACAGCTGTCTAAGCCCCACCCCATCTGTGACTAACTTCGTCAGAGCGGCCCAGGAGGACCAAGACGCTGGTGATGCGAGATGCCGCTTTTGGGGGGATCTGGGCGAAGCGTACGTGAGCTCTATGTTCGTGACAACCTGTGTGAGTTGACGATGATCTCAAAATACAAAGTAAAAGTAGTTACTCTCTCGGCTGGGAAAACAAAGACCAGCCACCAGCGTACTTGCTGTGTACAGATGACCCGGGAGGACATTCGAGACACTCGCCACAGGATGTGGCTCTGGGGGGCGGGGGTTCTTGCTCGGGGTGAGGGGGTGATCGACCCTCTTTCTGCTGTGCATTCTGTTGTACCTTTTGAATTTTGTACCACGAGCCTCTATCACTGATGTGAAAGAATGCAGTTAATTTGAAAACAGCTGGCTTCACAGGGGTTTCTTTCTGGCAAGACGGAAATGTTCTGGAATGGTGGCGACGGTCGCACACACCTGTGACTATACTAACCACCGCCAAATTCCACCCCTTAAGTGGGTGAACTGTATAGAATGCAAGTTGTAGCTCAACAAAGCCGCTTAAAAAAACAGCTGGGCTGGTAATAGTATCATCTCTTGCTGCGAATAAGAATCCCCCGCCCCGCCCCAGCTCCCAGCGGAGCCAGGGGACAGGGAAGCCAGGGCGCTGAACCTCCTGGGGTCTGCATGGGCAGGCACAGGGGGTGGTCCCGGGTGAGCTGGTATTTCTAGAGGGTCCCGTGGCGCACATGAGAGTCAGGGGATGGCAGCGGCAGAGAGGACCAGAAGGGTGGTGGGGAGTGTTCTAAACTCCAGGCTTGCAGCAAAGAGCCACAAGCTGCCCCTAGACACAGCCCAGGCCGACAGCCTCCAGGAGACCAGTTCCCAGCAGGCAAAGCCCAGAGAGTGGCCCTTGCCGCCGCCGTTCCTCCCGAGGCTGCCGGTGTCAGATGGGATCAGGAGCAGAGAGCCCGGACGGACGTGAGACGCCAGGAAGGCAGAAACACCTAGCCCTGGCGGGTGGGGCTCCCTGGAGCCCCACCCAGAGAAAGCTCAGAGACAGTGTGCAGCTCAGAAGAGCATTCTGTTTCAGGAAGTTGGGTTTTTAAGGATTAAAAAGTGTAGAATAGGGTAACGCCAGACCCTGATGATTGTCTACACAGACTGAGCTCATGCGTGGAGCTCACCCAGGTCCCTAGGGCGGTGCTCTCAGAAGAGCCCCCCAAGCTCCCCACCCAGCCAGCCTCGGGAGAGGTCCCCTGGTAGGAACCTTCAGTGTTCTGCCCTCTGTACAGTCATTTCTCTGTAGCGTGTGGCTTGGCAAGGACCCGGCCCTCAGCCCATGAGGCCTCCACGGACCGTTTCCGTCATAAAAGTCACCTGTGAGTGCCAGGCCTTTGGAAAACAATCCAGCTGTTTTCTGGGACCCAGCAGGGCCTTGAGAGGGAAAATAGGGTGGTCTCAGCAGGGACGCTAAGGAGAAGGTCACATAGGCACCGTTGGGAGCACCCTGTCCAGACTGGCCCTACAAGAGGTGGTCATAGACGGGGCAGGCCTATGAGGAGCAAAGCTGGTCACAAGGACACTGAAATGTCCAACAGCAATGCTAGGAGGTGGGGTTATGGGGGAGACTCTGCCCTTGCTCTCTGGGGAGGGGAAGGGTTTCCAGGTGAGCCACAGTGAATGAGGGTACCCCTCCTAAGCAGAAAACGTTCCGAGAGAAAAACGGTAAGATGCGTGCAGGGAAGAAAGCAAACGCTCCCGCCCTTCTCTGTGCTGCTAGGACAGCTAATAGTTCTAGGAATCCTGAGGTCACACCAAGTATCCTCCGGCCAGCCACAGATGGTGGAGGGTCCCCGGACAGGCAGGCCTGCTCCCACCCCCACTCACCGGTGGGTACAGAGTGGCCTTGGTGCTGGACGAGCTGCTGGACGAGGCCCCGGTGACGTGGTTCCGGTCATAGAGGGGCACTCCACCACGGCCCCCCATCAGGCTCACGGAGCTCATCATGGACTTGCCACATGAGATGCCTGCCAGCGGGGAGGGGGACAAGGTGGGTCAGGGCCAGGCCCCACCCAAGACACAGCACATGCTCCTTGGCTCCTGCTGCCCTCTATGACCCAGGATCAGGTGGGTGAGCCCTGTCCTGTCCCTGCCCCCGACGGCCCCTCTGCTCACACCCCCGGTGTAAGTCTCAGCCACTCGCCCCACCTCTGCTCTGGCCACTCGCCCCACCTCTGCCCAGGGCCTTGCACACAGTGCCAACATCTTACCTGTGAAGGGACCATGCTGGGAGCTGCCAGGGGCTATGAAATTGAGGGGAACGTGGGGGGTCCCACTGACGTACTCATGTGGGAAGGGCCCACTGGCTCCGGCGTAGCGCTGACACAGCACTCGCTGGCACACGAAGTAGACCCCGCCCATGACAAACAGGGACAGGATGATACCGATGACTGGCCCGATGGCGCTGCTGTGGGCCGGGCTGTCGTCGGACGGCGGCTTGGTGATCTCTGTCGGAGAACGGACAGGGAGAGATGGTGGCGTTGTGCGAAGGCACAGGCTCCCCTGTGGGGGCTGTTCTGGCCCAGCACCCGTGGGTGGTGGGGGAGGGGAGAGGGAGATGCCGGGGTGCTGGGGCGCCAGGCTAACCTCAGTACCGCTGACACACTGCCCCCCCACCCCATCTGCCCGGAGCGCCCTCCTCCTCGCCCGCCCTCTTCCCCCTCATCATCACCGCCCCCCTCCCCCGTCCCCTCCTGGCTGGCTGAGCTTTACCTACTTCCCAACAACCCCTCACAGCGACTCCCCAATGGCAGCCTCGGATTCAGCCCCGGGTCTCGGGGCTCTCTGAGTCACAGGGGTCTGGGAGTCACGGCCCCCAGACAGCTGGGCCTGGAGGCCCCTGGAGCCGGGTACTGGAGCCAGATTCAGGTGTGGGGTAGGTAGGCAGCTCCCGGGGCTGCGAGCCTGTCTAGCAGGGGACGTCACCCACGTGCAGGGGCTGGCCGGACTGACGGCGTACCCAGGCTGGGAGGCCTGCCCTGTGCCCCACGCGCCTGCCTCGCACAGAGGCCCAACATGAGGGCAGCATGAAGGGCGCCATGTGACAGAGCCTGGGCATGGGGGTTCCACCAAACCAACCTGAAAAGCCGGAGCCCGCTCAGGGCTGCAAGGAGCCCAGGAGTCCTTCTGGGGGCCCCACCAGTGCGAGGGCCAGGTGGGAGGACTCCTCAGGCTGGCTCTGCCATCAAAGCCTTGGGGGATGAGGAGGGAGCCCCAGGGCTCGAAACTCAACTTTGACAAAAGGACGCTGGGTTTCCCATCAGGCTGGCCCAAGGAGTTCAAGGGCATTCCACTATGTCCCCTCCTGCCTGCCAAAACCCAGGGGGAAGGAGGAACGTGCTGGCTCGGGTGGCAGCACCAGACTACAGATAAATGTCACCCCTGACACCAGAGTCACCCTCAGACTGGCACCGGCCCAGCAAAGGGGTGGGGGCTCAGACCCCGGGTGGCACCCATCTCTGTCCTCTGGCCCCAGGTTACTCACTTGCTTGAGATGGTAACCAAGGTGCCTCGCTGGCTTCGTATGAAGGTACAAAACTGTTCAGGGCCCCCTCCCCCTTCCCCGCTCACAAGACCTCTCTCAGCCCAGGTACCTCGACAGTAAATGGAGAGCCCATCGTCCCCAAACACATGTGCATTCCCACTTCCTGTCTGGGGCTCTAGCTCCCTTCCTGTCTGAAACGAAGACAGCCTTTCGAGAGCCACCACCTCCAGGAAGACTTCCCTGACTGCCCTGGCCTCACATCCTGCGGGCCCCGTCTCTGACTATACAGGCCGCGTCACTCAAGAGGCACAGAGCACGTGTGTGCATGTGGACGGGCACCTCCTCACCCGGAGAACAGGCTGACGGGTAAAGGACCACCCCGACCCCATCAGAGCAGTCTCACTGCCCAGTAGATGCCCCGGTGTGAGGTCCTAGAGGGCAGAAGCACACCCCCGCAGGCACAGTCAGCTGCAGCCCCCCCCCCCCCGCATCTACCCCACAGGGGACCTGTCACTGTCGCAGCCAGAAACACCCCAGGGCCGACCCCCCCAGCTCAGCCTCACCACTGCCTCTCCTTCCCGGAAGGCTTCCCTGCCAGCCTCCCCCCCCACCTCCTGCCTCCAAGGCCCAGCACTCCCAACCTTCTAGCCTCTTGGTTCGGCCCCCAGCCTACTTCCTCCCTCTAAGACCCCACACTCATGCGGGCAACCCCTCCACGGGAAGCTGGCTCACCGCACATGAGCTCGTCGGAGCCGTCGAGGCAGTCGGGGAAGGAGTCGCACTGCTGCTTGATCAGGACGCACTGGCCGCTGGCGCAGCGGAACTGGTTGGGCAGGCAGATGGCTGCAAGGGGGAGTGGCGCGTTCAGAGGGGACACGGGCAGTGATGCGGCCAGGTGGACTAAGTGGAGAGCCAACAGCCAGTGCTCCCCGCCACAAAGACCCAGCAAGAAGGTCTGGGTTCCAGATGCAGAGCAGACCAACAGGACCCTTTCTAGGATGGGGTCAGGGAGCGGTCACAGCAAACCCGGTCTCTACCCTCCCCACGATGACCCCCGGTTCCGAGGCCTGTGTGATGCTGGGGTAGGGCTGGCAGGGAAGAGACCTCAGTGACCCCTGGGAGGTATTTATCAGGCTCCTACCACGGGTCAGGCCCAGACAGGGCCAGGACTAACACCCTCCGCCCCAGGGCTTGCCTGCATGATGGGGAGGCAAGAGCCAACAGGAAGAATGACCTAGAATGGGTGGGGGAGGGGACAGGTGCTTTCCCAGCAGAGTTCCCAGGGCAGAGGAGCAGGAAGGTGGAGCAGAGCTCAGCAGGAGGGCCAAGGCAGCTCACAGCCTGCTGGACCAGGAGGAAGAAGCCTGCGTACTGCCTGCTGTCTCTCCCTCCGTGCTCCAGAACGCGGACCGGGAAGGAGCCATCACTCTCCAAGGAAGGCACTGCCGGGGAGGGGGGGGGCCCTCAGCCATTGTCCACCCCCAGAGTCTGCTATTTAATCTCCCCACCTGCCCTGCCCTGAGGGCCCCCCATTGGGAACCAGAGATGAGCTGACCCTGTCCTTGCAGCGGGTGGGACAATCTGCTGGCAACAAAGCTGGGAAGAGGCTTCCGAAAGACACGGGAAAGCCCAGAGCCCGAATAGGGCTCACTGTCAGGGCTGAACTTTGCACCAGAATCGACATTCACGGGGGAAGAAGCAGGGCATGGTTCCTAGTCCGGGCTCCTGCCATCCTCTGAGACTGTCACCACAACACCTGTGCTAGGGCGAGGGTGTACAGTGGGACTCCGCAAACTCTCCTGTAAGGCGCCAGGTAATAGGTGTTCGAGCTTTGAGGGCTGCAGGTCTCTGTCCTAAGGACGGAACTCTGCTGTTTCAGGGCAAGATCCGTATGTAAATGTACATGCATATGTATGTAAACGTATGTAAATAACAACGTGTAAACAGGAACCTGGCAGGTGGCAGTCGGGATGTGGGGCATTTGGGGATGTGGCACTCGCTCAGGTGGCAGTCGGGATCTGGCGCTGGGGCTGCAGTCTGCCAACCCCTGGTCTGCCGCCGCCCTCAAATTCTCAAAGGGTCCCTAAGGCGGCAAGACTCCCTGTCTGCAGCTTTCTATAGAAGGAGCTGAGGAAGCGGCACCCCACCCCCAGGCCCTCATCTCCCACAAGATGGGGGCTCACCATGCAGGGGACAGTGGACGGTGACCAAGGAGCCCGTGAGTTATCTAAGAACACACCCGCCAGCTGTGGGGGAGACAGCGCAGCCCCCCCCAAGCTCAGTCGTGGGGCCATGGTGCTGACGGTATGCGGCAGTAAACTACCCAGCGCATCGTTTATAAAAGGAAAACTCAGAGGAGGCACACAGCCGGGATATGGAAGATTCTGCTGGTCTGAGTGGACTGGGGGTGACTAAGGAAACCTTTTTGTCCCTTGGGCTCAGTGGGGTGCTAAAACCAGCCAGGCGCCAGCGTTACTCCGTACACCCCCCCGCAGCAAGGCCTGCGGGGGCCGGGATTAATCAGAGCGCGCACCACGGAAGTCCCGCTGACTCCTGGATCTGCCTTGGGTTCTGGCGAAACTCGACCCAGTGAGGGAAGGCTCTTTCAGTCTGTCTTCAAGCCAAATCGCCTGACCGGACGGGGCGGGGTGGATGACAATGTTTTCCTCAGTGGGCCTAAAAGTAACCTTTTCCTCTCCTAAACCGAGGAGCGTCTGGCAATTTGACCCTGGCAAAGGTTCTATGGCAAACCTGCTCTTACGTGGCCGGACTGAGCCCGAGCTCCAGGAGGGCAGGGCCAGTGGCTGGCATCTAGGGAGAGGGCAGCCGGGATGGAGCAGGCCCAGGGGTCGGGGGAGGTGGGGAAGGGGCCAGGGCCGGCAAGGGAGGGGGTGGGCAGAGGTGGGAGCAGCTTCTGGGAGGGTCTAGCAGAGGCGGGGGCGGGGCCTGGAGGGGCGGCACCAGAGGCAGGGGCGGGACCAGAGGCGGGGTCGGGCAGGTGGGATGGGACCGGGAGGGGCGGGGTCAGCAGGGAGCCCTCCGGCCTCACCATCGCAGTCGGCCTCGTCCGAGCGGTCCTGGCAGTCGGCCTCGCCGTCGCATCGCAGGCGCAGGTCCACGCACTGGCCCCGCGCACAGGGGAACTGGGCGGCTGAGCACACCGGGCAGCCCTCCTCGTCGCTCTGGTCGTCACACTCGGGGAAGCCGTCGCAGCGCCAGGCCCCCGGGATGCAGTCAATCTCCCCGGTGGCACAGGCGAACTGGTCGGGGGAGCAGGTGGGAGGCTCTGCGGGGAACACGGCGAACACCATCACCCACCGCCCCCCGGGGCCAGGCGCTGCTGGGCTTCCAAGCGGGAGATGGTTCAACTCGATCAGGGTGCTGTACCGCCCCCGTCTCCAGGGCAGTGTGACGGGTCACAGTCCCGCCTTTAGACCCAGTGTAAGATGAAGGTGGGGGTCATAAACGTTTGCTGAAGGGAGACACGAATCTCCTTTGTTGCTTTTTGTAACTGTAGGGAAAGGGTGCTGAATGGAAACCTGAGCTTTAAGCAGGAGGTGAACACCAAGGTGAGCAGAAAATGCTCTTAGCTAGAAACTCCACTCTGACCACTGAGAAGCCAGGGCAGACCCCCCTTCCTGCGGCTCTCCATCTCCTCACACGCACATCAGGCACTGGGACAGGTCTCTGGGGATGCCCACCAGAGCCCCAACTGGGGCCCTACCTTTGCCTGCCTGGGGTCCCCAGCTGGGCTGTCCGTCTCGTGTAGAGTCTGTATGCATGCCCGCCTGGCCACACCCGAGCGTCCGTGGCATGCACACATATACACACACACAACACACACACCCCCGGGAGATGGGAGGTCAGAAAGCAGGTGCTCGGGACCTGCACCTGTCACAGGTCTGGAGCAGCTGGAGCCGTGGGCTGGGACTCTGCGGGTGGTCAGCACACCCCCGGATACAGCTGGGGGTTGGGGAGCAGGCTAAGGAGAGGCAGGACAGCGAGGATGCCATGGTAGGAGGGTGCAAGGGGGAGGAGGAAGGCTCCGAGTGGAGGGAGTCCCCCGATGGTGGGGGACTGGGTGAGCAGGAGACAGGAGACCTGGGGCCACCTCCTCCCAGGTGACCATGGCGAGTTGCTCCATTCCTCACATCCACCTTCCTCAGTACAGGCCGGTGCCGGCCAGGACTCAGCTGGGGAGCAGAATGGGACCGGGTGGGAGTAGGACAGGTCTGGGGTTGAACCTCGGCGCCCTTCGGCAAATCTGTACAACCAGATGAACGCCCCAACCTCCCAGAGGCTCCGTTCCCTCATCCCAAAACAGAAGCAGCCACGCTGCGTCCCCCGCTCCTCACAGGACGGCAAGGCGAGCGTGGGTGTGTGTGGCTGCCTCTGGCTCAGGAAGGGCTCAACCAGCTTTAGTGGCAGCACCTGAGAAAGCTGAAGCACGTGGCTGGCTGCCCCTTCTGCCGTCTGGCTCCTGCCACCTCGGGAGGCACAAGAGCCCTTGTCACCCCCGAGAACCCCTCCAAGCTCTTATCCTTCTGTGCTCCCCCCAGAGAAGTAGCCAGGCATCCACAAGTCTGAAGGGCCAAACTGAGGGCTGGGAGAGGGGCCGAGGGGGCACCTCGTTCAGGTAGAGGCCCAGGGTTGGGCTCCAAGGGCACTCTGGGCAGTCCCTTCTTTCCCAGAGCAGCCTGGACATCTGCGGGGGTCAGAGCCACTCAGGCCACAAAACCATGTGAGCCCTGAGGCTGGAACTTGGAAAAAAGCCGTAAAGAAGCTCAGGAGGGTCAAGGTGGCCCCCAACAGGGACAGCCACAAAATGTCCCCTCTGCTCTAGGCAAAGATCTCTGAGGTTCACAGTGTAAGGCAAGGCAGGAGAAAGTTCCAGAAGGACAGGCCCTGTGGTCCTACCCCCTGAGCTCCAGGGGCAAGGCGAGCTGAGAACGGGCATCTTCTGTGTGTAGGACACAGTGTGGGAGCCCTAAGGGGCGAGGATAAGCAGAAAAGGGACAGAATTAAAACCAGCCTGAGTTCTGGGGGCAGGAGAGAGGAAGCCCTGGGATGTGGGCTTCATCGCAGGAAGGATAACAACGGTCACTTTTTACTGGGACTGCCCAGCGTCCCACCACCAATAGCAAGCTGGCATTCCTGTGGGCCACATGCCGGGGACCATGCAAAGTGCTCGTTACGTAACACCACCACAACTCCGAGGCAGGTGGTCTCGACCTCTCTTTTCCACGGAAGAGAAAGCGAGGGCTCAGAGAGGGCAGGTGATCAGCCCAGGACGGCTCAGCTGGAAAGTGGTAGAGCCGGGATCTGAGCCAGGTGTGCCTGACCCCAAGCTTACTTACATTCTTGACCACTCCCCACTCAGCTTTAGGGGGAAAAGAGGGTCCAGGGTGGAAGGACGGAGAGCAGACAAAATTACAAAGAGAAACAGGCAAGCAGAGGTCACAGGTGGCCTGAACACCACCACCCATCCACTGGATCTAACTGACTTCTACAGAATACCTCCCCCGACACGAGCAGAGGACTCGTCCTTCTCAAGCGGACACGGAACACTCACCAAGAAAGACCACATCGTCATATACACCTGCACAAAGCTAGACAGATAGCAGTCAGACAAAGTATGTTCTCCGACCACAGCGGAATTAAAGGAGAAATCTGGGGCTCCTGGGTGGCTCAGCTGGTTAAGCATCCAACTCATGCTTTTGGCTCAGGTCACGATCTCAGAGTCCTGGGATCCAGCCCCACATCAGGCTCTGTGCTCAGGAGGGAGTCTGCTTGAGATTCTCTCTCTCCCCTCTGTCTCCCCCGACTCCCACTCTCTCTCTCTCTCAAGTAAAACTAAATAGATCTTTAAACTAGAAACAAGTCACAGAGAGAGAGCTAGGAAATCCCCCAATTATTTCGATATTAAAACAACACACTTCTAAATAACTCAGGAGCCAAAGAGATGATCTTAGGAGAACTTCTAAAACAACTTAAACTAAGGGAAGAAAATAGAACTTATCAAAATCGTAGGATGCAGAGAAAGCAGTACTGCGAGGGAAATTCGCAGCCCCAAATGCATACATTGGAAGAGGAGGGACATTGGACATTGGCTCTGGAGGCTGGATGACACAGTGACTGTGATTTTAAAAGGCTGTGAAGCAGGGACCTGGCAGGCGGGGAACCCAGTGTCCCAGGAGTAACCGCTGAAGTCACACCTACCCCCACAGGTCAGCAGGTTCTGCAGGAGCACGAGGTGGACTGGGCAGGAGCACCGTGGGGTCCCGTCACCCTTGGCGATGCAGATGTGGGAGCAGCCACCATTGTCCCGGGCACATGGGTGAGCCGCTGTGGAGACACAAAGAGGGAGCGGGTTGGGCTCTGGCTCTCACCTCAGGATTGCAGCCTGGAGGGTGCTGGAAACCAGGGCGAGGCCAGAACTCACAAGAGTGGGTGCTCCCGTGGGCGAGGGCTACACATCGCCCCACTTAGTTCCCAGGGCAGCCAGCTTACAGAGTCCACTTCCTCTGCCACGCATCTCACAGACAGGGAAGTGGAAGCCAAAAGCGCTCACATCCTACCCTGGCCCGTTTAACCCACTCCCGCCACGTTCACAACCACCGGTCTACACTGCCAGTCTCTCACGGTGTAGCGGATTGGGCAGAGGCCCCCACACACCCACGTCCTAATGCCTAGAATCTGTGAATGGGACTTTATTGGGGGAAAGGGTCTTCACAGATGTAATCAAGTTAAGGATCCAGGGAGATCATCCTGGATTTTTTGGGGGGCCATAAATCCAACGACAGGTATCCCTGTAAGAGATTCCAGGGGAGGCGGAGATGCAGACACAGGGGCAAAGTCTGTGCGATGAGAGAGGCGGAGACTGGAGCCCCGGGGACACGAGGAACACCGGCCACCACCACAGACCAGAAGGGGCAAAGAGCCGTCCCCACCCACAGCCCCCAGAAGGGGTGCAGTCCCCACTGCCCCCTTGCCCTCGGACATCTGGCCTCCAGCTTGTAGGAAAACACGCTGCCATTGCATTGGGTCACCTGGGGGCGGTTTGGTACGGCAGCCCCAGGAAGCTGACCCAAGCGGGGATAAAGGGCAGGACAGCGAATCCCCAGGGAACTCGCAGGTTTCAGCTCAATGAACCGACTTAACCAACACTTGACTGACAGGAAGAAGCCTGGGAGGGTGGCTGCCCTCCCTCCGGTGAGAGGAAGTGAGAGAAAGCATGACCCGCAGCCTCACAGAAAAACCAGTGCCCTACCTCAGCCTCTGGGATTAAGTGTGTAAAGCGACAGAAGTCACGGTTTAGAGCAGGGGACAGCAAACTTTTTCTATAAACAAGAAAGTAAATCCTTTTGGCTTGACAGGCCACATCGTCTGTCACAAGTCTGCCAGCTGTCACACAAAGGGGGCTGTGTGTGGCACAGAAAACAACGGGTGTGGCCGTGTGCCAATAAAACTTTATTTACAAAATCCCAGATGGGGCCCAGGGGCCGGAGAGCGCCACCTGTGGTTCAGAGCTGAGCTGCAGAATTTCCAGAGTAAGTAGGTTGGGTGCCCCACATCCCAAATCAACACGGGAGAGCTCACTCAAGGATCTCCCACTCTCCCCCAAACGAGGAGCTTCTCGTGTCACCCCAGACATTGCACGTTTGCACTCACAGGGATGCCCCAGTTTCCAGCCTCAGCCCTGTTTGTTAAACATTTCCTGGCGCTCCCATCCCCTCAGGTGCTGGTCGGCGTGCTGGGCTTCATGCCAACACCCGCAGGACTGGACATTCGTGGGCTCGAAGTTCACCATGCTGACCACGGGCCAGCAGTTCTCAAGGCTGTGATGCCCAGGAGTCCGTGGCTTGGCTGAGAAGGGAAACTCGGGCACTTGGACCCCCATCCATCAGGCACCCAAGTGATCTGGAAGCCGCTTACCCGGCCGGCAACTTCACTTATCCCGGACCCGGACAAGAACCCACCAGGCCAGAAACCAGCCACCCAGCAGTCAACACAGAAGCCACCGTTCAGTTCATCAGAGGTGACGTCCCCAGCTCAAGAGAGAAGCTTATCCACTAAGAGCAGGACACCTGAGTCAAGAGGGAGCCAAGGAATTAGCAGGAGTCCCTCAGAGCAGGACAGGAAAGGCAATCACAGACGGGGACTCCAGGGAGACGTGAGCCAGCGGGAGGATGAGGGGCCATGGGGGAGGTGGGGCGGCCCCCAGGGCCCAGAAGATGGGCAGCTTAAAGGCAGCTGGACAGGACAGGGACAGTGACGGCCCTACTCAGCGCTCTGTCCCAGCAGCAAGCATCCAGCCGGCAGCCGAGGTCTAGTTACTGAATACAGACTGGGCAGACAGACAGACACATACACACAAGCTCCTATAGCCATCTCTAGCCATATACGGAGGGGGTGGGGGAACAAGAGGTCCCAAGGGTAGGGGTCCCTCCCTCCCAGCCTTTGGGCACAGCCCAGACTGTGGCAGGTCGAATCCTAAATTCCGCCTCCCGGCCTGCTCGCCTGCATGGTGGCGGTAACGAGACGTCATGCCTGTGGTCTGGTCACCATACACAGAAAAGGGGCTTCACAGATGGCAGTAAGGCTACTGATCAGTTGAGTGGGAGTTCTTCAAAGGGGGCACTAGTTCAAAGGTGGGTGACTCTCACCACAGGACCCCCGAAAAGCAGAGCAGGTTGTCCAGCTGATAGTAGAGGAGGGGGTCAGCCTCGGACGGAGGGGCGGCGGAGGGAGGGCCCAAGAGTGGCCCTGGCCAACGGCCCGTCCCGCAGCCCCTCACCCCGGCCAGTCTCCTACTCACTCCGAGGGGTCGGTTCAGAGCTCGGCACCGATGCACCGATGCCCACCCTCCCGGCGGGCTCCTGCCCACAACACCCACCCCCGCCCCCCAACACGTACAGAACTCCTCCAGGCTGATCTCTTCCACGGCGTGGATGCCGGTCAGGTGGGCGACGCGGCCCTGGACCCGCGTCCGCTTGTCGCCGGTGGTCTTCTCCACACGCTCGATCATCTGCTGCTGCCTGTCGATCCAGTAGAGGTGTCTGCCCAGCACGGCCAGGCCCGCCGGCTGCACGATGTTCGCGTCCTCCAGGGTCAGGCGGTTGGCCCCTGTGAGTGGGACAAGGGCCCCCCGAGGGGTGGCCGACCCCCAGAGCTCAGTCCAGGTGCAGCTCGGAACAGAGGGCTGCCAGGGACCCCGGGGAGATTCGATGCTCTGGCCCGGGGCCGGGAGCTAGTGCAACTTCCCTGGAAGCAGCCTCGCTCAGAAGAAAAGCGCCTCGGGGCGGCTGTAAGTGCAGTGATAGAAGCGGAGGGGTCTGACTTCTGGCCCCGCCTGCGCTGGGGGACCCTGGGCAGGCCACCCACCCTCTCTGAGACTCCTCTTCTGCCTTAGCAGGTGGGGATCATTTGGGACCTATGTCTGGAACACTCGGCCGAGACCGTCTGTGGCAGACACCAAGCCCCAGCACAAGGCCCACCCGAAATGGAGCCCTGACGAGCGCGGCGGCTGGTACCCCCATGACGGATGACGAGGGGGGGCGGGCGGGCTGTCCCGGGGAAGGTCAGACCTATGGCTTGCTGAGGGACCCAAGCCCCAGGTGGCCCCCGGGCACATACCTGACAGGTCACAGCTTTCGATGCGCTTCAGGTCCGCGTCCACCCAGAAGAGCTTGCCCAGCCTGTTGTCCACCACGAGGGCCACGGGCCGGATGAGGCCCGTGGTGAACAGGACCTCACGCTCGGTGCCGTCCAAGGCCGCTCGCTCGATCTTGGCTGCGCGGTCCTGCATGTTGGTGAAGTACAGGTACCTGTGGGGGTGGGGGGCCGGTGAGGGACGGGGGTTGTGGCCCGCCACCTCCACGGCCAGGATCGAGCATGCAAAGCACCACACAGGCCAGCCCCGGACCCGGCAGGGCTGGCCCCCGAGGCTGTGCGGGGCTGAATGGTGTCCCCCGAGAAGTCCTATCTTACCCAGAGCTCAAAACGTGACCTTAATTGGAAAGTGAGTCTTTGTAGATGCCACTAAGAATCAAGGTGAGGCCACCTGGTCGACACCTGGAGCCGCCCCCCCAACCCCGAAGCTGGAAGAGAGACAAAGAAGGGTCCCCGCGGAGCCTCCCGAGGGGGACAGCCCAGCTGACTTCAGACTTCTGGCCCCTGGCACGGTGAAAGGACCAGCATCTGTTCCTGTAACCCCCTGCTGATAGTCACTTGCTGTGACAGCCTCGAGGACTAGCACGCGCTCTGGCTGAGAAGTCCCTGCCTCTATGGAGGCCAGCCTCAAGGGAGACCCATTAGGTTGCTAGAGAGCCCCCCAAAATAACTAGGCGTGTGCCCCCCGAGCCCTCGTGTGCTGCAGGGGCTGACATCACCACCATCCTCGGATTCCCGGATGGAGACACGGAGGCCCTGAGCTGACGTCCCCTGCCTGGGGTCCCATGGATAGCAAGTGATGGGGTCAGGTTTCGACTTTGGGTCTGCCTGGCCCACCGGGCAGTGTTCACACTGGTCGTCCCCAGGCCTGAGCCCCATCAAGCGGTCCTTCCACAAGTCTGAGCCCCGCCTGGTGGCAGCCCTGTAGGTACCTGAAGGTGGCAGTCGTGTGCCCGCCGCCCGCCCGCAGACCTTCGCATGCCTAGCTTTATTCCTGAGCTTTATGTGGCACGGCTTTCAGTGTCCCCCTCCCCCTGGTTATTCCCATTGGGACCCTCCCGAGTCTGCCTGCCTCTTCATGGAAGGAAGAAGCTCTGCGGAGTTGAGATAGTGACCTCCCCATGATGGAGCATATGCAAGTGAATGAACAGCCCTCAGCTGGGATGCTCTGGAAGGGATTTTTGTTTTGGGTTCAGATTTGAGGGGGACAGGGTAAAACCTAGGAACCAAAACTTCTATCCTCTCCATGTCTCCCCGCTGGGATGCAAAACCCCGCACTGCTATGCCCGCCCGCCCCTTGGCCTCGCACCCCCGCTCGGCGTTGACGACGATGGCCCGCGGCTTGTCGCGGTCCCCACGGAGCACCACACCCATGGCGTCTCCATTCATCCGGTGGACGTTGATGGTGTTGGTGGCCTCACACGTCCAGAAGAGCAACCGGCTGTAGACGTCAATGCTGAGGTCGTGGGGCTGCCTGTCCGGGTTCTGGCTCGGGCTCGGGGAGGTCAAAACGAAGGGCTGTAACAAGGAAGAGACGAGCCTTGGCTATGGACATCGCTGGAGGGTGGAGGCCTCGGAGCCTGCGTGCAGACTGCAAGGTGGGACTCCAACCGGGTCTGGGGCCCCCTCTTGTCAGGTCAGCGTGCACCGCACGCCGACTTGAGCAGCAAACTGAGCAAGCAGCAGCTCGTGGCCAGGCTCTCGGCCGGTAGCTCGGGTCACCAGCCCACCCACCCGCAAATTTGCAGTGGGCCATCAGCTCCCAGGCCCTCCGCGTCCTGTTCCTGCCCCACAGAAGGGCCGCCTGGTGGCTCCACAATGAGCCCAGGCTCACAGCTGCCTCCTCGAAACATCTGCTCTCTCTTTGCTTAGTGTCTTGGACTCGTGCTTTAGGAAGGAGCCCTTCCAACCTTGTTATTTTTTTTAAATTTAGGGCGCCAGGACGACAGGTGCATAGAACAGAAGTCTGCCCTTCGCAGCCCTCTTCCCTAAGGGGAGCCCAGCAGTGTGGCCACCCTGCGTCTCTGCCCCGGGAGGCTCTCTGCGGAGCTCTGCCTGACTCTGCCATCCACTGCATCTCAGGGTCGAGACCTGGCTTTCGGAGCTACCGGCAGAGAACGCCGTTTCACGAAATGCTGCGGGAGGAGGGGAGAGCCCAACGTCACCCTCCTCTCCCTTACGGCCAGAAGCCTGACTCCCTGGGGGATCTGCGCCCCCTGGGTTACCCAGAAAGACCATGTTCAGGTTCTCAGGTGATATGACCTGGTGCCAAGTGGGCTTCCCAGAGCTACCACCAACGGTTTGGATGAAAAGTCACTTCCTCTGAGAGGGCATCATTAGCACGATGCTCGGCTAAGAGGTCATTGTAAACTTTGTCCATCTCCTGCTAGCAGTCAAAACGAAGTTTCCTGGTGCAAGAAGGGGCCTGCGGCCGAAAGGAAGCCCCTTCAGCACACCCAGCCTCTGGAACCCAGCTAGAAAGGAACACCACCCTCCCCCCCACACAGCAGCCCCTGGTCCAGAAACACTGGGCAGCTAGAAGTGTGTGACACATCTGAGTGCAAAGCACCACTTTAAAGGACTGTGTCTCCACAGGTACCAACATCCACATCCCCAAGAGTTGGGGGCTCTGAGAGCCAAGCCTCAGCTCCAACTGGAGCTCCAACATTCCTTTCCTCAAACCCATAGACTCTGGACAAAACCAGAGCCCAGAGCACCTGCCAGGCTCGGAGTGCAGCACGATTCCAGTCGGCCCTAGTAGGAATCAGGTTCCCCAGGGAGGGTGGATCTGCAAGGCCGGGTCTAAAACCAGCCTTTCGGGCACCAGTTATGGGAACAACCAGCTGCGAAACGCGTGGGGCAGCCACACCTATCCTCTGGCCGCCGGGCGGTAACGACCAGCCAGTTAGAAAACCCGAGCTCCAGCGTCAGGGTCAGTAACGATACTGACCCAAATGCGAAATGCCTTAACAGAACCCTATCGGGCACCACAATCAACACCTCTCCCTCTCGCCAGTCCTGGACAGCAGGGCATGTCCAGGACTATGTCCTAGCCTATGTCCAGGGCATGTCCTAGACATGTGGCAATGTCCACAGCAGGGCAGTCACGACAGCCCGAAGACCCAGCGTCTGTCGGTGGACGGACCGAGCAGCTGTGGTCGTCTGCACCGTGGGGCATCCTCCGCCTTAAGAGGAAGGGCATTCCGACCCCTGCTATGATGCAGATGAACCCTGAGGACATCACGGTGCGTGGAAGAGGCCAGACACAAAGAGACGATTACTGCGGGATCCAGCCTGCATGACGTACTTGGAAAAATCAAATTCACAGAGACAGGAAGTAGAAGGGAGGTTGCCAAGGGCTGGCGGAGGGGGTGGCGGAGCGAGTGTTTAGTGGAGACAGACTCTCAGTTTGGGAAGGTGACAGAGTTCTGGAGACGGTCAGTGGTGATAGTGGCATGACAATGGGAGTGTCCTTCGTAAGGCTGAGCTGCATACTTGAAAATGGTTAAAATGGTAAATGTGGGGCACCTGGGTGGCTCTCAGTGCGTGGAGCCTCCGCTTTCAGGTCAGGTCATGATCCCAGGGTCCTGGGATCGAGCCCCAAATCGGGCTCTGTGCTCAGCAGGGAGCCTGCTTCCCCCTCTCTCTCTGCCTGCTGCTCTGCCTACTTGTGCTCTTTCTCTGTCAAATAAATAAATGAAATCTTTAAAAAATAAAATAAAATGGTAAATTTGATGTTATTAAAGATTTTTTAAAAATTTTATTTGTTTGCCAGAGAGAGAAGACAGTGCTCGCACACAAGCAGGGGGAGCAGCAGGCAGAGGGAGAAGCAGCCTCCTCGCCAAGCAGAGCGCCTGATGCAGGACTCGATCCCAGGACCCTGGGGTCATGACCTGAGCTGAAGGCAGACGCTCAACCTACTGTGCCCCCCAGGCGCCCCGTGTTACATGCACCCCAGTACAATAAAAATATTTTACTGGAATGAGAGGTCAGTCAAGTAGATGATTTAAAACATCATCCTTGGGGTGTGGGGGGCACACCTGGGTACCTCGGTCCGTTACGTGTCTGCCTTCAGCTCACTCAGGTCATGCTCTCAGGGTCCTGGGATCGAGCCCCGAGCCCCCGTGTCCTATTGGGCTCACCGCCCAGTGGGGAGCCTCCTTCTCTCTCTCCCTCTGCGCCTCCCCCTGCTTGTGCTCTCACACACTCTCTCTCTCAAATAAATAAAAATCTTTAAAAATAAATAAGCAAATAAAATAAAACATCATCCTTGGGGGCAAAGGGCGCCCTTGACAGAGAATCAGAGCCACCAAAGGGTGAAGCCGGCAAGACTCCAGGGAGGGAAACCGACGTTTCCCAAAGCAAGCAGAAACCCAGAAGGTGTCCCTAAAGGACTTTTCCTTCAAAGCCCCTCGTTGTTTTCTCAGACACCAGGCGAGAACACCGCCTGATGCGACGTTAAGGCAATCTGCGCCCAGTACCTCCCTCTGCAGGGAAGCCACGGGCCATCAATTCACACTTCCTGTCCCGCAAAGGACGGCACGTGGCTGTCCCCTGCACGGGAGGAATGAAAGGAACACGTTCCCACCATTCTGCCAGGCTCCGCCCACCGCAGAGATGACACCACGGCTGCCCGGGCTCAGCTGCGACTTTTATCACCAACCAGGGACACAGAACGCAGGGGACGGCTCGTCAGTGCCGTGCTGGCCACGGGGCACTCTGTCCAGAGCGAGGCCCAGCCCGGACACACAGCGCTGGGACCCAGGTCAGGGTGAACAGCCAAGGGACCTTCACAGACACAGATATCGTCTGGAAGTTTCCACCAGCAGCATTTCTCTGCGTCGCCTTGTAACAGCACCAAGACTTCACCGTGAGGACAGGAGGTCCGGCCCTGACCGCGCCGCAGAGACGGGGAGCGCTGGGTCCGGCAGCTCCTGGACGCCGGCAGGAAGAGCCGGACGTGTCGGTGAGCGCCACCCCAGCAGAAGGCCAGCGCCACCGGGCACACGGAAACCCCGCGTGGGCCCCGAAGCCGCCGGGCGACTGTCCGTCAGGGAACAGGCCCCCGACAGCTAATACGAGAGCCGCTGGTTCCACTACGAGAAGTACTTTTGAAAACGCGTGTGGGCTCTGCTCTAGCGATTCACCGGGGCCCGTCTGAGCCTCGCACAGAGTTCGCGTTTGTCAAAGCATGATTTTGTCTGTGAGCAAACGCTGGGTGACCTCGAGGACAGCTGCAGCCCCGGGCGAGCCGCGTGCACATGCACAAGCACACGCCAGCAGCGCCCTCCGCCCCCCGCGGGCTGCGAGCCACGCCTGGGCACACTGGGGGTACAACTTCCCGCCCCATCTCCGAGGGGCCACCTCCCGTGGGTCCACGTCTCCAGCCAACTTCAGGTGTCTTCAAGGTCATTAGGAGTTGTGTCTTGAATCATTTAACATAGGCAGAAAGGAGCACCTGTACTTATGAGGTCCCTATCCTCACGTGTCCCTGGCAAGAGTTTTGAGGGCCGTGCACCTCGCCCTTCTCCCACAGCCCTGTGGCTTTGCTGTGTGATTCTGCACAGCGTCGTGACGTTTGGGAACACACGCGTTGCATTACAGCAAAACAGACTCTACGAGTCCTATGAACTAAGAATAAATCCAGAATAACCAATACCAACCAGCCTGGCACAAAATCCCTATGGGAAGAAAAAAAAAAATCCCATTTCTACATATAATCATCATCAGAGGGTTTCTCGCTGCTCAGGATATACCCCGGATGACATAATTAGAGCGCAGATGGTTGTTGACGCAAGCCATGCTCTCTTGGCACCCCTCTGCTAACCAAAACGGGGCGGCAGCCTGGAAACGGTCCCGGGGAGCTCCTTGCAGAAGTGACCCCCGTGTCCCCCACAGGTACACCTGCCTGGGTCCCGTCGTCCTTGGCTCGCTTGATGTTCTGGCGTCCGTCCACCCAGTAGATGAACTTGTCCAGGGGGTCATAGTCGATGGCCTTGACATTCCTCAGCCCGTGCAGGGGCAGGATGAGGTCTGGGCTGTGCTGGTCGTCGGGGACCATGCGGCTGATGGCACATTTCTGGCTGAACAGCAAGAAGGTGGTGGGCGCTAGAACGGGGCGAACAGACGAGAAGGCTGCGTGTCAGTGTCTGGAGCCGAAGACGGGGTCGGCAGGGAGGGACGGCGCTCCGCTCCCTCGCGAGAGGCAGGTTTGCATATGCACCTACTAGAAGCCGCAGGGAGAGCGCTGGAAGGACATAAAGTGGCTTCCGGGGGTGGGGGACGGACTATGGCAAATTCTACTTTCCATGTTATGTGTGTCTCTGCTGTTGCAGTATTTCCTAAATGCATGAGCTATTTTGAAATGAACAGCATTTTTAAATTATCAAGACTCAAGACAGAAAAAGGGTAACGATAGTAAATATCAAACACCCCCCCCATAAATGCACTTAATGCTTGGACAGCTCTATCATTTGTCTCGTGCCTACATGCACTCATGGGAACCACTGAAACTGTATGCAGTGACCTTGACATGGGAAGGGACACTTTATGGGCGTGTCAGTGAGCCAAACAGCCTATGTGCAGGGATGGCACAGCCGAGAATGTGTAAGAGGCCGACAGTTCAAGCCACTGTCTGAGTATTACAGTTGGGTGATTTGAAACTAAATCATGGCCCCAGGTCTGCCAGCCCCAAGGGCAGACACTCAAGTCACAGGCGTCCCCACCAGTGGGTTACCTGCAGCTTTCTTTGACTCTTCAAGGTGATGGCCCCCAGGGGACAGGGACTGCGGGACCAAAGGGAGCGCAAGAGTAGGGAGGCCCCAGCTGAGTTGAGGACCTGTTGCCTCATCAAGACACAAATGCACGGGCCAAGCCCTCAGCTGCGACAGCCCATAGAGGGATCACTGGATATAAAATCCAGTCAATGGGGAGAGTACTCCCTCACAGAACCAGGCCTAGGCCTCCAGATACCACGCGGCTTATGCAGTGCACAGCCCACTCAACCATCCATGGACACCAAGGTACCTCCAGAGAAGAGGCTCCTTTGCGCCTCCACCCCCAGAGCCAACCTGACCTACCATAGGGTGGGGGTACAGGGGCACAGTGAGGCACTCACGGCTGCAGTTGCGGCTGCTGGGGTCCAGGGTATAGTGTGAGGCACAGCCACAGCGGTGGCCGCCGGGGACGGCGAGGCACAGCTGCCCACACTGCCCGTTGTTGTGCATGCAATCGTTGAGGCCATCCTGGCGGGAGGAGTGGAACACCAGGATGTCCATCACGAAGTCCAGGTGGCCCTGGATGAGGGTGCGGTTCCGGCCGCTGGTCTTGTCGGCCCTCTCGATGCTGTGCAGGTTCCAGTCGGTCCAGTAGATGTAATCGCTGTACTGCGTCAGGCCGAAGGGGTGCGGAAGGTCGTCCGCGATCACAACGCGCTCCTGACCTGCGTGGACACACGCCTGCGGCATCAGTGACGCACGGCCGGGCCTCCACGCAGGGTCGACCGGTTTAAGGCTGCCCGGGAACCCACGTTCCCCCACTTTGGAAAGAAGCAGGGACGACAGCAGCCAGAGGCCACCTACCCTGGGTCCAGGCACATCCCCCCCCACCGCAGCGGAAACGCACGTGCTGTCACTCCAATGACACAGACTACAACGTGCGCAGAGCCGCAACTGGGAGACAACCTGGGTGCCCATCACTAGTAGAGCGGACGGGGCACCTGGGGTTAGGGTTAGGGTTCAGCTCAGGTCATGATCCTGGAGTCCTGGGATTGAGCCCCGTGTCATGCTCCGGCTCAGCAGGATGTCTGCTTGAGAATCTCCTCCTCCCTCTGCCCTTCCCCAAGCTCGAGCATGAGCATTCTCTCGATCTCAAATAAATCAATAAATCTTTTTAAAAACTTTTTAAAAAAGTTAATTAAAGGGGGGGCCCGCTAACTTTGTCCTTGGAGCATGCAACTCTTGAAGGTCATAAGTTTGAGTCCCCTACTGGGGGTAGAGATTATTTAAAACCTTAAAAAAAAAAAAAAGAAATGAAAATTTTTGAGACTAGGAAAAAAACATGCTGACACAACAATATTGATTATCATGGGATGGTGAAAATCATGAATAATTACTTTCTTTCCCTGTATTTCTGTATTTTCAGAAATGCCCTATGTTGATTATTTTGCCATCAAAAACAAACCCGTTATTACATACAGACGCTCCGAGTGCTTCCATGAAACACAGGCTCGCACACGCGCCCCTGGACCCCGCGCTCCCGCCAGCCACCCTCGGTGAGACGTGCTTTCACCCAGGTCTCCCCACGGCAGCTGCGTGAAGCGGTGCCGTCCGTGTTGGGGAACCGAGTGCCCAGGAGGGTTAAGGAACGTGGCTGAGGCCGCACCGTCAGAGGGAGGCCCCCGGTGTGTCAATGTCTACGGCATTAAACGGAGAGCGTGCTAGGGCAGGGTGACAGCCAGGCCCACGGCACGTGGCCACCTGCACGCAGCAGGGCCGTGGAAGTTTCTGGCGCTGATTTCCCCCCAGTGCGTCTTCCCTCTGGGGCCGTCGGTGAGCATCATTACTTCCCGCAACCACCGCCATTCAGGGATGGCTTCCTCCTCAGGCATCGGCCTCTCGTAAATCACTGCGGGGGGCTGGCGTGGCTCACTCAAAGACACATTCCAACCTCGCCAGCGGACTCAGAAACCCGGACAGGCAGTGTGCAGGGCGGGTACGGCCTGCCCTGAGCAGAAACCAGGACACTGGGGTTCCAGCTCTGGCTCTGCTCACACAGTACCTGGGACAAGCCATCCAGCTGGCCCATGCCTCTGTTTCCTTACCCGTAAAATGGGTACAACCACGCCCATCACAGGGGGCAGCAGCGATCAGAAAATCAAATTCTCTCCACCACATGGGGCCACCTTATCACTTGGTTACGTAAGAGAGCTAACATAACGGCTCCCTCCGGCGGTACAGCCTAGATTTGCATGTCCTGCCCCCACTGGTGGGGTACCTGGAATGAGGTATTTTTTTTTTTTTCACCTGATCCCAGGATGTGGGGTCTATGACCTATTAGTGAATCCGAGAGTAAGGCCTGCACAGAGTAGGTGCCCCGGGTCTGATGGCGATGGAATCTGGGCAGCACTCTGCGACCTCAGGGAAATCCTGGCACCTCCCTGGGCCTCAGTTTCCCCATCAGTGAAAACCTACACCATGTTAGAGTCCTGGCACAAAGCTTCCCTGGGCCTTGGTTCTTAGTAGGTGTGCAGGAAACCGCTGTCCCTCGGGCCTCTGCAGACATGCCTACAGCAATGGCACCAGGGAGGAAAGGGACAAGCCCCAGAAGAAGACAAAGCCGGAGGAGCAGCCGGGGCTGGGTCCACATCTCCGGGGGGGCTTCACAGCTCACAGGCCAGAAGGAATGGTGCAGTGGGGGTGGAGAGGGAGTCGGCCCCCCAGCCCAGGGATGCCCCCGCCCAGCAGGACCCCACCTGGCCCTCACCCAGCATGTCGGACGACTCGATCATGTTGGTGTCCAGGTCGGTCCAGTAGAGACGCTGGTCAGCGTAGTCGATGGTGAGGTCGTTGGCCCGACCCACCTTGTCCACCAGCGTCATGCAGTTGGTCCCGTCCATGAAGGCCCGCACAATCCTGGGTTTCCCCCCCCACTCAGTCCAGTAGATGTAGCTGGAAGACACAGGGAGGCCAGGGCGTGCTCAGTTGCGTCCACCCTCATGGCAGGGCAGGGGGACACAACCACCACCGTCCCCTCGGTGTGGCCCTCTCCATCCTGGATAAAGCCACATTGGTGACATCCCTCCAGGAAGCGGGAGAAGGGCAACACCCTGAGAGCTGCCTACGACCCCACCGTCCCCCCAGGTGCCGTCACCGGGCTGCCTCCTGCCTCCTGAACTCCCACAGCGCTAACCTGCAGGGTAAGGGCAAACACATCCGTTTATAGGCCCAGACTGGGAGCACAGATGGGGTGACCTTGTACTAGAACTCCAGGGAGACACTCTTGTCAGAGACAAACACTAATTAAGCTGGACAGGACACCAGGGTGACCAGAGAAGCCAGGATGAATGTGGGTTTGTCAGGACACATTGTCCTCTTACTCAAAAGGGACAGAGGACAAGAATCGGAGCCCAGCAGGCACTACAGGGTCAGGATCCAAACTCGGCTTTCCTGCCTCCAAAGGGTCCACCTCCCTTCTTCTTCAGCAGCTCTACAGAAGGAGCCCCCGTTCCAGAACCATGTGCGTTTTACTCGCCCTTCGGCTACAACTGGGCCCTTCTCTCTGGTCCGCCATCCTGCAGTCTCTCCGTCCCTAACGGCGTGCGACAGGCAGCGCTTTGGGTGTGGTGAACACAGCTCTGATGCACCAGGGGACGAGCACCTGGTCTGCAGCACAGAAGACTGGCACACAGGGAGGCTCAACCCTGGCCCCCCGCAGCCCCCATGCCCAGGGCCTCCAGGCTCCTGCCAGGTCAAAAAGAGCAGGTGCCTGGTGAGGCAGGTGGGCAAGGAGCCCCTTTTGAGCTCGCCGGGGTCCAGGGCCCTCAGAGTCAGCAACACGGGGCAAGGGAAGGAGCCCAGCTCTACCCTCCCTGCTTACAGGACGCTCAGTGAGTCTTTCAGCTTCTCTGCGGCTCCGTATCCCCCTCTGGAAATTCAGGGACAGAGACCCTTGCCCCTTGGAGGCCCCCCACCCCCAGATGCTGCACTGAGAGAAGCATCCCCCCTTCCTCCCTGCTGCTCTGGGCCTCAGTTTCCCCTCTGTGAAATAAACCAGAGACCTCCACGGGTCCCGCTGGCCCCAGCCACCTCGAAGCCGGCAGTGGCTGGGACTGCTATCGTGCGAGGGCCCGCTGGGCAGCCATCCCCAGGGCTACGGTCATCGTGCGTGGGCTGACGTGCGGAAGTGGCGGGGGGAGGGGGACACACATGGTGGGCAAAAATGGCTCTTACCCTTTGGTGGGGTCCAGGGCCAGTGACCTCGGGTTGTCCAGGTCCCTCCACACGAGGACCTGCCGGAACTGTCCGTCCAACCGGGCCACTTCGATCCTGTTGGTCCCAGTGTCCGCCCAGTAGAGGTTCTTCCCCACCCAGTCGACAGCCATGCCTTCCGGGTAGTCGAGGCCGAACTCGATCACATGCTCCACGGAGCTCCCGTTCATGAATGCTCGGCTGATGGTCTGCAGCAGGGGAGGAGGCAAGGGACGCGGATTAGGAACCAGCCTTACCCCCAACCTCGGACCACGAGATGGACCCCCGGCCACTCAGAGCAGCTACTGACCGCATCGCGTGCCCGATCGCCAACGTGCAAGGGTTTTTCAATAAACACTTGAAATGTAGTAAAATACAACGTTTTTACGGAAAAAAAAAAAAAGATCTGATAGTATTTAAGTTTCATGAAGTTTTTGTCCCAGGAAACTAATAAAAAATGCAAAAGATAAGGAGTCATGGAAACCAGAGAGGCTGGAAGCTAACAGAATGTTTAAAAGAAGGAAACTGGTTACGTAAAATAGGGAGTATCTGTGGAGACTACGTCCTTCACCTAAAGAGTTCCTAGCAGCATATCAGTTACCTCGTACATGTTTTTATTTAAAGATTTTATTTATTTGACAGAGAGAGAGAGAGAGACAGCGAGAGAGGGAACACAAGCAGGGGGAAAGAGAGAGGGGGAAGCAGGCTTCCCGCCGAGCAGGGAGCCCAATGCGGGGCTTGATCACAGGACACGGGGATCATGACCTGAGCCCAAGGCAGACATTCAACGACTGACCCAGCCAGGCGGCCCGAGCTCTTATAATGTTAAGTGAAAGACACCAGGACACAGAACCCTCTAGCACGCCTGACGGGGACCATGAGCAGCACCGACATCGGGAGCTCACTGGAAATGTCAGCTGAGGGGAAATGAGGGATTTTACTTTTATTTTATTTTTACTTTCTTCTTTATCCTTTTCTCTCTCCTGTCCTCTTTCTTCAGTGAGCTCCCATGACTTTCAGAATCAGAAAAATCTCAAAGAGATGTGTAACACCATCGGGAGAATAAGATCAAGGAGTTCGGTTGTCCGGAACAGAACAGGGCCTGGCACACTTTTCCATAAAGGGGCACACAGTAAATATGCAGGCTCCGAGGGCCACACAGCTCTGGGGCCACTACACAAGTGCAGGCACGGACAAGCCATAGACAAATGGGCATCACTATGTTCCAATAAAACTTTATTTACACAACCAGGGGGTCAGCCTGAGAGCTGGTTTGCAGAATCCTGCTTTATAAGAAGAAAAGGCCCTTCTGTGTATCCCTATGTATTCGCGCTGTGCATAGGGACAGCATTTGCTAAGCAGGTGGGCACTGCTGAGGGAGCGAAGCCAGAGACGATGTCAACTTACAACAAAACGTCTCACAGATCCACAATCGCTCCAGAAAAGCTCATCTGTGTGTAGGGGATCTGCTCGTGATAATCGTTCGTGTTCGTTTATTAAAAGTTTGCTCAGACTTTACGGTCGTAGATCACGTTACCATAAATGTTACAGCTTTTTTTTTTTTTTCCAAGTAGGCTCCACGCCCAGCACGGACCCCAACCACGGGCTTGAACTCACGACCCCGAGATCAAGACCTGAGCTGAGATCGAGAGTCAGACGGCTGACCGACTGAGCCACTCAGGCGCCCTTAAATACTACAGCTCTTTCAAAAAGACCATGAAAGCCGTCAAGACAGCGCCGGTGGAGGCCACCTCGCAGACCGTACCTTCAGGCTGACGTCTGTCCAGTATATGTGATTGTTGGATACGTCGAAGTCCAGCGCCGAGGCCTCCTTGACGCCCGTCAGCGGGATGGCCACGTCGTTGTTGTTGGTCTCCAGGGAGATCCTGTGGATGGCGGCTCGGCTGGTGAACACGAGGAAGGCTTCAGGGACGATGCAGGTCTTCAGGTCGCTCAGCAGCTCCAGGCCGATGGGGCAGCCACACTTGGCGGCGTGAGGCGTGAAGAAGCAAAGGTGGCTGCAGCCCCCGTTCCCGTCCGCACACGCGTTGGTTCCTGGAACGAGCACAGCGGCTCTGGCACTCGGCAGCCCCCAAAACAGAGGCGTGTGTGGCTCCGTGGTCACACGGGGCTGTGTCCCAGCCAGACAGCACGTGGGACACCGGGCGGGGATGACGGAAACGGAGGTCCTCCCCCGCTACGGGGAAGGGACACTAACAATGTCAACGTGGCTGGCTTTGTGCCCGGGGTGACCCAGTGCCTTTGAACTCGGTCCGTCCGTCCGCCGAGCAGCTGGGGAGGCCGGAGCCACTCCCACTAGTTTTCTAGTCATGGAAAGTGAAGCCCAGGGAGGCTGGTGAAGGTGACACGGGCAGGAAGGGGCACAGGTGTAAGAATGCCATGTGAGGGGGTAACTCACACGCACATATGCACACACACACGCATGCACCTGGGCCTGGACTCCGGGCCTGCTGGTCAGACTGACCGCCCGAGTGGCCCCCCGGACACCGACGCCTCACACACTCAGACTCGCCCAGGAGCACCGAAGGGGTCTCCTCCTCACTGAAGCAGAAAACTTAGGGTGTTCGTTTGTTTTGGCCCCCCGTTCCTCTCCGTTAGCTACTGAGGCGCTGTTGAAAGTGGCTTTAATGTAGAGTTAAGTATTTTAGCTAAAAGAAGAATCCTTCTCCCCATCTCTCTCAGTAAGTCCTGAGACGAGACAGAGAGATGAACCCAATCTCTCAACTTGAAAGCGCGCCCGATGGACACATCTTTTTTCTGACCCGCTGGGTTCTCTTTTGTGTATCTAAACCATCGCTCGCACAGGGGCTCACCCTCCATGGTAGATAATCCACGGGTTCTAAAGGGTGACAGCGAAACGGAGCTTACCCGTCCCATCGCCTCTTTGTCAGGAACCCGGGTCGCTGGACGGCTAAGGCCTCACCTCCGGGCCTTTGCACAGCTGCCCCTCGGCCTGGCCCACCCTGCCCCGACCTGCTCCCTCAATTCCAAGTTCAAGTGACCTCCCCTGTGTGTTAAAGCCAGGCATCCCCACCACCCCAGCTACAGCCACTGCCTGGAGTAGCACTACGGAGGGTCTCAGCTGCTAGACGGGGAGGCTGGGAGCTACCTGAGGCCAAGCCCAGGATCTTCTCTGCCTGTTCATTCATTCATTCATTCATTCATTCCTCCAGCAGAGGTCTATAGAGACCTTCGGACCCGCAGGTTCTACAGCAGGTGCAGAGGCCCCCCCCCCCAGCTGGGCACAGAGCCCCGCCCCCACCACACCTGGACCCTACTCTCTCCCTCCTGTGTAGCCTAATGACCCGCATTTGGAATCGTTTTCAGAAAGAGACAAATCATGTTAAGTGAGCTTTATGCAGATCCTGGTTTTCAGATAAAAGCTGTGTGTTTGGGGTGCCTGGGTGGCTCTGTCAGTTAAGGATCTGACTTCAGCTCTGGTCATGATCTGGGGGTCCTGGGATCAAGCCCCACATTGGGCTCCCTGCTCAGCAGGGAGTCTGCCAGTCCCTCTCCCTCTTTCTCTGCCACCCCCGCCCCGCCTCATGCTCTCTCTCAAATGAATAAATAAAATCTTAAAAAAAACAAACAAACAAGGTGTGCATCTGAAGGTCCAGCCTGGCCACACTGGACAGCCATCACAGCCCACCCCAGTGACGAGGTTGAGGCAGACCCAGAGTGAGTCCCGAGCTCGGCCATACCAGCAACGTGGCCATGTGTCCCTCCTCCTTAACAGGGCAAATGGGGCAATACTGTCATTAGTGTATGGGGTTGCTCCGGCCATTACGGCACTTAGCAGAGCCTAGCGCACAGCAGACGCTTGGCAAACATCAGCCGTGACTGTAACAACTGCGCCAACAGCGCCCGTCCACAACCACGACCTAGTCAATATCCCCGGCAGAGACACCACGCCCCTTCCCAGGTGTCCTCCACCAGATCTCACCGTACCCTGCCCTGCCCATCCCCAGGGTGGGTGCCCGTGGACTGAAGGGCAGCCGCGAGCCCACTGCTTCTTCCTGGTGCCGCTCGGCTTGGCTCACTCGCAGCTGGAGGCTGAGAAGACTCACCGACAGCCTTGGCCACGTTCACAGCCTTCAGCCCCATCAGGTCGGGCAGCTGGTCGATGATGACGTCCCGGCTGGCCTTGACCTTGTGCACGCGCTCGATGCTGCGACGCTGCCAGTCGGTCCAGTAGATGAAGTCCCCCAGCAGTGTGAACCCGAAAATGTGGGGGAGCTTGTCTTCCAGGAGTGTCCGCCTCTTTGTCCCGTCAACGTTGATCACCTGCGGGACAGCAGACACAGGTATGAACCAGCCTTGGGCCTGAGCGGCCAGAATGGGGACAGGCCCAATGCCTAGGAGGCTCCGTTCTGCCTGCACCCCGCGAGGCCATGCTATGACGCCAGGGGCCGTGGCTCCCGGCAGAGCTGGACGAATGACATTTTCAGTGGTGGGGCTGGCTCAGGGCTCTCCCCGCAGCCTCCGCTACCTGGGTACAGCCATGGCACTGAGAGGGCCAGGCGAAGCAGACAGCTGTGCTCTCCCTTCCTGCTGCTGATCGAGAAGCAGGACCGAGGTGCAGGGCTCAGACCGGGGCAGGCTCTGATAGCAACGTCTGCCGGCCAGGAAGGTGTCGGATCACAGGCTCAACGCAGACATGAGCTTCCAGAGGCTGCGTTACTAACACGCCGGGGGCCCTGGGCAAGACCGCGCACTGGTCTGTGGACCGATGTCTTGCTTGGTCAGGCCCAGATGGCCTCGGAGGGCCCTTCTGGACCTGAGTCTGAGCCCGTAACTCTCGGATGCTTTTCAACCCCCCCACACCAGTGGCCCTTTACTCTGAGATATGAAAGCTAGCTCTTTCTCTTGAAGAACCAGTGCTGATGAAAAGCATTAACCACAAAAGCCACAAAGGAAAAACTGCTATCAGACATAAAAACGCCTTAACCGACGGAAACACACAAACGGGGTAAGATGGGATTCCGATGAAGATGATCCTGTAGCCGCTGATGTTGAAAGCAAGACTTGATAAAACACAACATCGAGCTTCTCCAGCTCTTGGGCCAGGATGAAAGCGACACAACAAGTCCCAGCAGACCCCCTGCAGCCAGACTGTGTTTCCAGCTCCGCAGAAAAGCAACAAACACTCTGTTTTGCAGGTGGTGAGAACAGAAGACAGATCAGATTCACGCTGAACAGAAGAGACTTGGGTCTGTCTGCCATAGGACAGCACAGGACAAAACTGCCAGGTCACCCAGGAGGGGCCCAGCAAGCCCCCGCGCCCCGGGGGCCTCAGTGTCTCCACCTGCAACTGAGGGGAGCAGCTGACCTCGTCCAGGCAACCTAAACAAAGACAACGCCTGCCCGGGCCCCCAATCTGGGGCAATTCACACAGAAGTGGGAGGTGCTGGCCCCCTATGGATCCTGGAAGCGGCTCTCCGCTGGGGTTCCAATGCGCCCCCAAGCCAGAATGCGAGATTGGGGGACGCCCTTGTACCCAGAGCGGGGGCGCTGCCTGCCTCACCTGGAGGGAGGAGCTCAGGTTGTACCAATCGCTGTGCTCATCCCCAGGGCACCACGCCGGCCCCGCTGGTTAGCAGCAAGTGGCAAGTGAGAGACTAAGCCTTCCAAACGGTCTGGGCACCGGCCCTCAGAGAAGGCTCCGCACAAAACTTGCCCACGCGTGGGGTCTCATCCTGGGCTCGTGGCCGAGGAGGTGAGGTTGGGAGAAGAGGAAGATGGTACCCTCAGGAACACATCCCGTCGGAGAGCATGTAAGTCAGCGAGCAAGGCTGTGAGTGCGCAGACACAGCATCGTGCACGCAAGAAACAGAAACAACTGTGGACACTGAAATTTGGATTTCGTGTCATTTTCACGCATCACGATATACTGTTTTTCTTTCAATTCTTCCCCCTGATCATTTAAAAGTGTGAAAACCGGGGTGCCTGGGTGACTCAGTGGGTTAAAGCCTCTGCCTTCGGCTTGGGTCGTGATCCCAGGGTCCTGGGATCGAGCCCCACATCAGGCTCTCTGCTCTGCGGGGAGCCTGATTCCTCCTCTCTCTCTACCTGCCTCTCTGCCTATTTGTGAGATCTGTCTGTCAAATAAATAAATAAAATCTTCAAAAAAAAAAAAAAGTGTGAAAACTGCCCTGCGTGTGAGAGCGGCGCAGACACGGGCAAGCCGGCCCATGGGCTGTAGAGTCTAAGCCCTGGTCTACAGCTGAGCGCCTGTGCCCATGATCTTCAGGAAAGGAAACTGGACATTTCACCAAGACGCTGTGTCAAGAATGTTCACGCCAGACGCCAAGAGTGCCTGGAGCCAGCGCTGCCCTCTCTGAACTCTGGCTTCTGTCCTCCTGCGCGGGGCCAACTCCACGTTCCGTGCCCGGGTCTGGGCAAGAGGGCCACAGAGAGGTGGGACAAGCAGATCCCAAGGAAGCACATCCTCAGCTGCACTCTGAGGGGCAGCACCCGCAGGGGGTCTGCAGGGAGGCCCACAAAGTGGTGGGCCCCGAAAGCCACCCTGCCGAGAGACAGGAGGCCAAGACCAACTGTTTGAAAGTGCACGTTTCAAGGGAAAAGACTCCTGTTTTCTGATGGAGTCACCATCACAGTCAGACGTAACCCCCCAAATTAGAACCGTCCTGGTTATTTTTTTTTAAGTATTCTACTTATTTATTTCACAGAGAGATCACAAGTAGGCAGAGAGGCAGGCAGAGAGAGAGAGAGAGAGAGGAGGAAGCAGGCTCCCCGCCGAGCAGAGAGCCCGATGCAGGGCTCCATTCCAGGACCCTGAGATCATGACCTGAGCTGAAGGCAGCGGCTTAACCCACTGAGCCACCCAGGTGCCCCGCCCTGGTTATTTTGTTCCACGTAATAAACAAGATCTTAAACACGCACTTGGGGGCACACACACACCGCTCAGTTGCCCAGAAGCCCCACGTTCTACCTTCTTCCCTGGGGGACGAGGGACACCCAGCCACCTGGCCTGGCAGCCGTCACTCCCCACCCCCCCAAGTATTTACCTTGGCTGTGCCAGACATAAGTCCCCTCCGCTGACCCAGTCCGTGTCCGGGGCAGGGAGACAGATAAATGCATGACTTCTCAGTCGTGACTTCTCAGCCCGCCTGCCAGCCTGCCCCACAGGCGGTGTGGACCGGGTGCTCTGTCCCAGGGCCGGCCCCACGGCAGGTGTCAGGGTCAGGACCCACTAGCTCCCACTGCCCTGGCCAGGGTGAGACAGCAGGGGGCCCCAGAGAGCCCAGATTTTCGGGGGTGGGGCAGCAAGTCCGCGGCAAGCCCCACGCAGGTGACACCCCGGCCACAGAGACAGGCTAAAGAGACCGGGTTGGCCTGTGAGACCTCGGCTTGGTCCAGCCACGAGTCCAAGAACCCCGGAGGGAAAGAGCCGAGGATGAAGCTTCACAAAGACAGCTCGGGACTTCAAAGGGGCAGGACCGGTCCCCGCTTCAACTAGGCATTGGCTGAAACCACCCTCCGGGGACAGGCGTCACGGTGTGTGTACCCGGCTGTCTAAACGCTCTGTCCCTGTCAGCACTGCTAAGGGGCGCGATTCCTCCCTCTACTCCGGAAGCAGAAGACAACAGGATCTGCACGACAAGTCTGTGAAGGAAGGGCTTCAGGACACACGCGGCTAGAAAATCAGCTCAGGCGCTGTCCAGGGAGCTAGGACGCCGTCCCACCCCCCGCGCCCCATCCCTTCTCCTCAATGTCCCTCCGATGTGCTGCCGCTGTCCCATCTCCCCCGTGTCTATCTCCCCTCTTGAACGTCCGCCCCGTTGGGGCCACAGGTCTGTCCCCTGCTGCTCTTCCAGGTGGGGCGGCGTCCGTGGACGCCTGGAAGGAACAGGTGCTCGCCAGGGTGTGCACAGGGGGCTGGGGGGACGTGATGGCAGCTCTGTCCAGGGACCTGCTGAGCAACCGTGGGAAAGGGGCCAGTGGGAGCCACGGCGAGAGTGTGGGAGCCACGGCGAGAGTGTGGGAGCGGGCGCTCTCCATACAGACCCGGTGTGTCCTGAGTCCCCGCCCACCGGCAGCACGGAGACCGCCGACCCCAAGCCAGACCCGAGAGAGAGCTCCTGTCTGCTTTGGGAGATGAGACCGACTGACAAACAAGTGAGGTGGTGACGATAATGGTGCTGGGGACCCGGCGGCCAATCCGGAGCACGAGCACTGGCCCGGTCTCGAAGGCGCTGCAGCTTCTGGCCGGAGATGCGGCCTCCAGGTGGGAACCGGGATGTCAGCATTCTGGAGAAGGCGAGTCGTCCCCATGCAGGAGACCAGGGCATGTGGCGGGGGGATCTCTGGGCTTCTGAGGGAGGGGGCTGGGGGCGGCTAGGCACGTGGACTTGGAGGGCACTTGGGAGGGAAGGAGCTGCCCAGGGTAGGGGGGAAGGGGGGCCCACGCTGGGCTGTCACGAGCCTGGTGTCTGCCAAGTAGCAGGGACAGAGGCAGGAAGGGCCCAGCGTCTGCCAAGAGCAGACAGAGAAGTGTGGGGCCCCAGCGGCCACTGGTTAGAGACAGCTCAGGGACAGCAAGTCCTAGGGGCTTTTATGAATCCGGCTGACCCGTGACACGAGACCTAAGGCCTGTGGCAGGTCGGAGGAGGAGAGCAAGTGTTTTTGGGGTGGGGAGCCCCACAGGGTGGGGAGGGGAGTGCACAACCAATGGTGGCCGTGGGGACACCGGAGGCCGGTCCTGAGGGCGTGGCCGGGGTCGTGGGGAGGGCTGGGCCCCAGGGCTCTAGACTTGGGAAGATGGGTTAGGAGGTGTCCCAGGGAATTCCTAGCCCAGGAGAGTGGGACACACAGCAGAGGCAGCTGTGGGGACACAGAGGGGAATCGGGGGCTGTGTCCATGGACCTCAGCCCCCACCTACCCCACGTGGCTCCAGCCTGCAGGAGGGAAGTTGGGGCGCCTCCCAGAGTGAGCCCGGAGGGAGCAGCCTGAGCCAGCCCCCCCCGGGGGGAGCCACCCCGCAACTCCCAACAGTCACAATGGCAGCTAGCGGGCCAGCCGAGGGGCTGGCCTGGACCTGACGTGCAGGACAGCTGTCACAGACAAGGCCGGCAGGAGGGCCCACCTGCAGGGCGGCCCAGACTCGCCCGCAATTTGGCCTGTCCCGTAAGTCGCATCCACATGCCACTAATGCCATCCAGATGAATCCCCGCGTCACCAGTCCGGCCCTTCCAGACCTTTGTTCTCCTCCTGGTTCATCCAGGGATTAGCCACAGCTGCCCTATAAAGTCCTTCTCAGGGGCCTGGTGGGCGGGACACGGGAGCCCGATTACCTCTTCAAAGGGACAGCCAGTTTTCACTGTTTGCAGTTCCTTTCTTCCAGAGCCTTCCCTCCGCGTTCAGAGCCAGGCCGAGCGCACAGCCAGGCTGCACAAAATCCATCCTCCCCATCAAAGGCAACCGCGCGAGGAACGACTGAGGCCAGCACTCCGGCTCCTCAGCACTGGCCCAGCTGTTCCGTTGTCACTGGGTATAATTTCTGGGAAACGTCACCACTGCTAGAAGCATGTCCTGTTGCTGCCCTAGCCTGGTTTATTCCTCCCCAGACCATCCCTCCCACCTGGAAACTGGAAAGTAAACACAGTCCCTGGTCCCTCAGCGGTTCCCCTGGAAGCTCCGGGGATCCTCCGTGACCGTCAGCACGAAGCCTGTTGCCTGATTCAAAGCATGGTCCTGAGGGGCACAGCAGAGGAACAGCTGTTGGGCACACATACCGAGCTGGCCCAGGAACCTGGAACAGAGCCAGCACTCCGCAGGCGCTCGCAGCAAACTCCGGGACCCCAGAGCGAGGGCCGAGAGGCCACAGCAGGAACTTGGAGGCAAGGCCCCTAGCATGCTTGGGCCACCTCCAAAATGTTCACACCTGTGTCTGGGGTGTGTCCCCACTGAAAAGAATGCTAGAGTCCGAGAAGCCAGCACGACACTCACCTGGGGCATCCCCACTGCGGGGAGAAGACACGCTGAGCTTACGTGAAGGACGGTCTCCACGTCCATGCATGTCAGCAGCGTCTCCCCACTGCCCCCGAGGCAGGGGTGGAGGGGTGCCCGGCACAAACCCCGCAGCTAGGGTCAGCCCTGGATGTGTGGGAGGTGGCAGCGATGGGCTCCGCCGGGGTCCGCATTCCCAAAGTGTGTGCCACCAGAGCCAAGGCGGGGAAAGAAAGGGACCCTCAGGCATGTAGTTTGAGAACACGGACACACCTGCATTTCCCAAGTCCACTTGATCAAAGATTCCCAAATTCTAATTCTGCAGCGTCTCTCTTCACACTTTCCGGGGATTAGCTCCAAACAGGTAACACACTCGGCGCGCGCGTTCCTGGTCTGCCTGCGTGGCCCCGTGCAGATGAAGACTCCGTCCCTGACTCCGGGCCCTCCCTCTCCTCACGCTACCATGACGGACCGTCTTCCTTGGTCGGTAACCCTTGAAACCGCGCTCCTACCTCTCCGCAGCCTCACACCTCTTGACTTCTGTCCCTTCTACTTAGTGGTTACCAAGAGGATAACGTTTAGATTCTGTCTGGAAACCTGACGCTGTCTTAGGGCTTTGTCTGAGGATTGGTTCTAAAAGTGGAAAGTCAAAACCCACCCATGTGCCACATGACCTTGAGCAAGGTACCGTCCCCCTGGACCTCAGCTTCTCATCCACGAAGGGGGACCATGCCACATACCTCCAAATACTCTTGGGGGACAAACAACCTTTCACCCGTCATCGGGAAAATGACAGTCAAAGCCAGGGGAACCCCAGCGTGGCTACGGTCGGGATAAAGGGCGTGGAACGTTACAGCGGCCAAGGCCGTGCAGAGAGAACACGCGCTGCCACGGACAGACAGCGCGGAGCGGGGCACGCCGCGGACCACTCTGACGGCGCGTTCGTGAACCACGCGTAAAACCCCCATGTGGCCCAGCAGTTCCGCTCCTCCGTGTGCTCCCCGGAGAACTAACAACAGGCGCAGACAAACTCGCTCGTGGTGCCCTTGACAGCCTCGCTCGCGGCAGCCAAAAGGGGGAAACAACGCAAATGCCCATTAACAGACGGGTGCGCAGTGTGCGGTCCGTCCGTACGACCCGTGTCACTCGGCCACAAAAACGAAACGAAGACAGGTGCCACCGTGTGGACAAATTCCAAAAACAACACGCTGCGTGAAGAAGCCAGGCAGGGAAGGCTGCGCGCCGAAGGACCACACTCGCATGAAACCTCCGTGACAGCCAGCCCCACGGGGACCACAGGGACCGCAGGAGATCCGTGGGTGCTGGGGGCTGGGGGGGGGGGGGGGAGACCAGGACTGGCTGCTTAATGGGCACGGGGTCTCGGATGACGAAAACGTTCTGGAACGGGGCAGCGGTGGTGGCTGCTGTGGTTCAGCTCTGTGAACGTGGGCAAGGCCGCTGAATGGCACACTTTAAAATGGTTAAAACGGCCATCGTGGGTCACGTGTGTTCCCACAGTAAACGGCCACAGCACCCCACCATGGGAGCACACGGAGCCACGCCTGTTACTGTTCGGCAGCGTCAGCCAACACACGTCCCTAGGCCCCCAGCTGCTCCCAGGGATGGGTGGGGTCCATGGGGCGAAGCCTTCTTGGTTGACCCCAAGGAAAACAAGGGTCATGCCTTCAGGCTCAGAGGCTCGAGAGAAACTCCCTTTAGCAACAGGGTCATCTGTAGGGAATCCGGCAGGAACTGGCCACTCGGACAGCGACTTGGGCGGGAGAGGCACCTACCCAGCCCGGAGTCCCCTTCCAGGAGCGTGGCAGGAAACCCTGCGACCCAGGCGCACGTCGGTCTCCTTGCTCCCGCCCTCCCCTGGCAAGCTGCCTGGTGGGGGGCTTCCCCCAAAGCCAAGAGAGGAGCAAAGTTTACCCCCAGGTGGGGTGGTCCATAAGCAGTAATGTGACCAGCACTGAGGGGAGGCGTCCACACCGAGGACGGGCACATACGCCGGGGACTTCCCTGCTATGGGGACGAATCGAACGACTGTCCCGAGAGCACCTCCAAAAAGTACACCTACGAGCAAAGAGCAAGTTGCCAAAGAACACATCTGGACATCGCTTAAATTAATCACACGGACTCACACAGAACAGGATGATGCACCGTTCCGGGAGACGTCCACCTGGCAAGAGAAAACGCTTGGGAACGCGTCACCAGATTCAGAATGGTGGTCACCTGGCTGCCACCACGTTGGTAAGATTTTCTGTCTTATGCTGCGTGGTGGGCATGTGCGTGTGAGTTTTCACTAAGATTTTGTGTTTCGAGGGACACCTGGGTGGCTCTGTTGGTTAAGCAACCGACACTCTTGATTTTGGCTCAGGTCACGATCTCAGGGTCATGAGACCGAGCCCCGCGTCGGCCTCCGTGCTCAGTGTGGGGACTGTTGGGATTCTCTCTCCCTCTGCCCGCCCCCTGGCTCGCACACACACACATACACACACACACACAGGAGTGCACACGCTCCCTCTCTCTTTCTCTAAAAAAATAAAATCTTAAAAAAAACCCAGCAGAGCAAAGGCGTCCGTCCGCTGCCTGCCTGGTACACGTCACGGCTCCAGGGGCTCTGGGCCCACCGGGCTGTGCCAGGCAGCACAACCTTCATCAAACAGCTTCGGGAACCAGCGCCCACCGGTGGGGAGGACTCACCTCGATTTTGTCCGTCTTGGCGTCTCCCCAGTACAGCTTTCCCTCCTGCAGGTCCAGGGCCAAGCCGTTGGGCCACCCGAGGGACGTGTTCACCAGGACGTGCCGCTCCTGCCCATCCAGGTTGGCGCGCTCGATTTTGGGGTTCTCCCCCCAGTCTGTCCAGTACATGAGGCTGGAGAGAAAGCACATGTCCTTGACGCTGTCCGTCCCGTCCCCACCGCACGCCCAGGGCTGAGGACCACGCTCTCCCTATCCTGAAGGTTGCTCACGCAGTGCTGGCTCCCTGCCCACATGAGCGCCAAGTCCCCCACATGCGGGACCAGGGGCTCCATAGGAAACGGGGTTGCCCACAGCATGGGCTTCACGACCCGGCATCCTGGGACTAGAAGGGGGCAAGTGGGACCCGTCTCCTCTCCTGCAGGTGGGTGGACGGCAGATGTGCTGGGAGACCCATGGGCCGTAGGGGTCGAGCACTGGGCAGGGGGCCCACGTGGAACGGAACCTTCCTCAAAGAGCCGAAGGGCTCCTGTGCACAAAGCGCAGGCTCCACGGGCAGACAGGCCACGAGGCCCAGCTCTGCCAGCAGGCACCTTGAGCGGGTCACTGTGGGTTCTGCGCCTCTGAGCAGCACCTGACAGCCCCTGCCAGGGACCACGGTGACAACCGCTGTGGCTCTGCTAGTCCCCACAAGGCACAGCGCCCAGGTCTCCCTTCTGTCCTTCCAGCTCCTCCTCCAGGCTGTCACCGGGATACCATGCGGCATCCTGCACGGAGGGCCAGAGGCTCCCCCTGCAGCCCCGGCTCCACCCGCCAAGAGCTCCAACTCTTCCTCCTCCCCCCGCCACTCTCCTGTTGTTGGTCATGAGCCCCCAGGAAGGGGGCTGCTACCTTGCTCTGAGCTGCAGAGGTTCTCGGAAAGGCTCCTACATCGATGGACAAGCTGTTTTCACAGAGTCCCATAATGGAAAGTTGGAGCCACACTGCCTGGTCTGATCCCAGCATCCTGCTATGTGACCTTAGGTGAGTCCCTTAACCTCTCTGGGCTTCAGCTTCCTCTACTATACAACTGTACCCATCTCCGGGGGAGAGAGGAGGAGGTAAAGATTCACCGTGTGCAATGCTCAGAAAAGGTCCAGCCCGTACGTCGTTAAGTACATCCCATCATCAGCCTAGAAACCACCCTGGTGAACCATTCCATTTCATAGGTGAGAAGGGTGAGGCCCCTGGAAAGCAATGACTCCCCCCAGCTCTCCAGGCCCTGTACACACGTACACGATGTCATAGCATCGCAAAGTCTGGGCCCTGGACCAGCAGTAGCATCCCCGGGGGGAGCTTGTGAGAAATTCAGGTTCCCAGGCCCCGCCCCAGACCTCCTGAATCAGAACTCCGGGGAGGGGCCCAGACACCTACATCTTAACAAGCCACCTCTGGGGCATTCTGATGCCGGCAAAAGTTCCAGAACCACTAGTATCTCTCACTTCTGACGGCCTGGCTTCCAGCCCCCCCACCAGGTAGGAGGTCCAATCCCCCCCCACACACACGCTTACCCCATCACAGGGTGCAGCACAATGGCCCGGGGCTCGTCCAGGTCCTCGGACACCAGGATCTTGCGGGAGGTGCCATTGAGACGTGTCACCTCGATGCGGTCAGTGCCCGTGTCCGTCCAGTAGAGGTTGCGGGCCACCCAGTCGACTGCGATGCCATCGGGGTCGTTGATCTCGGTGTTGACCAGCGTCTGTGCCCCTGACCCGTCCAGGTACGCCCTGCGGATGGCCCGCACCTCGTCGTCTGTCCAGTAGACATAGCCCTCCAGCGGGTCGTAGTCGATGGCAATGGCATGTCGGATATCATCAACCTGCAGCACGATGTCAGTGAAGTCTGGCGTGTCCAGCGAGATCCTCCGCAGGTCCGTCCGCCGGGCCAGCAGCAGCACCTCCTCGGCCCCTGTGGGAGCGCATGAGGTGGGGTCAGAGGCCGGCAGCAGGACAGCGGACCAGGCCTGCACTGGGCATGGCAGGGAGGGGCTCAGCCAGCCCCCGGGGTCAGAGCTTCCGCGCAGCCACCAGTGACTGTAGGTAACACTCGCTGTGACCCTCCTCCGTGGTCACTAGCTCATCCTCGTGAGGGCTCTAGGAGACCAGCACTGTTTGTATCATCACAGTATCGAGGAGACCATGTAGGCACAGAGAGGTCAAGCAACCAGCCGAAAGCCACACAGCCACCTGACCTCCACCACCATGGAAGAGCTGCTTCACACTCAGTGTCCCTTCACCCCTGCAAGCTCCTTTCCTGGCCACAAACCAGTTCCAGATGCAGGTCCCACGGAAGCACTGGGCTCCAGACCGCCACTGGCAGCCACACTTCTCAAAGTCCCCACTGGGCCGCACCTTCCACGTGCTCCCCCTTCATGGCTCAGGTCAGATGCCACTTCCTTATGAGGCCCCCCCACCCCGCTCACCCCTCCAAGGCAGCTTCATACCACCTAACGGCACACATCACTGCACGGTCTGATTCCTTCCCACATGACTCTCTCACTGACGAGGGCAAGCACCAGGGGACGGGTGCCCCGGGCTCCCTCTGCCACCCCAGCCGAGTTAACATCTCGACTCCATCCTGGACCCTCCCTGCTGGGATTTGTTGGAACTTCCAGGACAAACAGCACAGGGAGCCTCACGGCACTCCCCAACCCTGACCGGGACACCCCTGGAGGCTGTGTGCCCTCCCCCAGAGCTGGGTCCTTGTCCCCTCATTCATTCTGGCCCTTCTGGTCTGAAGGACTCGCAGAACCAAGTTTAGGCCCAGAGACCCCTTCTGGAACTTTGGGACCACTTGCCCGGTCTGATGAAAGGCCCAGAATGGGGAAGGACCCGCCTCAAGTTATGTAGCAACACAGGATGGGGACAGGGACAGAACCAGCCGGGCACATCCGTCAACCTCAGGCCCCCAGGCCCAGCTCTGCAGGCAGCTGCCTGGTCAAGCCACAGCCCTCAGACAGCAGACTCTCTCCGGCGCCTGGTGCCAACTTCTTGCCCCAGTGGCAGAGCCCTCGGAGCCCAGTGCCTCGCAGAGTCCCCCCGGGGTCCCTGACCTGCATTTCAAGTAAGGGTGGGATGGGGATCCTCATGGTCTCACTCCAAGGTGCACAGCTCATCACCCAATTCCTCCACTAGAGGGCGACACACGACAGCAATAGTTTTCTGAGCCCAGGGCTGGGAAACTGAGGCAGGCAGTGCCCAGAAGGCACCCCAAGTGCGTGACTGCTTTGGAAACTCCGATACCCAAATTCAGATTTGGCCCTGATATGGTGTGCATTGGAAGGAGGGGAGGGGAACTCTGAATTTTAACAAATTGTCTTCCTCGGAGCTCTATTCCCAAAATGTTCTGTTGACATCTGACCTGTCCTTCAAGGCCCAGGTCCCACACCTCCCCCTCCTCCTCCAGGAAGCTTTCCTACCACCCTTACACCAATGGATGGGCTGGCCACACACACACACACACACACACACACACACACACACACACACACACTTCATGGGCACCACACTTAATGTTTCACTGGGATTCGTGCACATGCCCCCTCGGCTCTCTGCAGACCCTGGGCCACACCCAGGGCAGGTGCTGACATCCTTAGACAAGCGGGGAGAACGCAGGGCAGTCAGGCAGAGAACCTGACTCTGGACAGGTCTCTAACCTTCTCCGGGCTCTGGTCTCCCCATTTACAGTGAAAAATCAGCCCAACCTGCTGGTGTTGTGAGTTTCTATCTGGCTCTGACATCAAGGGAACCATAAAACCAAACTCCGGGAAAGGCTCTGGCTTCATCTCCCATGATGGAGGGACAGGGGATGCCCCTCCAGGGCACGGCCAGGAAGAACCCCGTCCCAAGAGGGTGTCTACAGACCCATCCGAAGAGGCTGTCGGGCTCCCGAGTGGAGGCCAGGGCAGCTCACCATGCAAGGCGGAAGGGTGTGTGTCAAACCCCACTTTACCTCAAGCAGTACTTCCTCCCCAGAGAAAACACTGGTCCCCGAGGGGAACCAACGCTCTGTCCCAAAATACATTTTTTTTTAAGATTTTTTTTTTTTAACTTGAGAGAGAAAGAGCATGCGTGGGAGGGAGGGGCAGAGGGCGAGGGAGAGGGAATTCCAAGCAGACTGCTTGCTGAGCACGGAGCCTGAAATGGGGCTCAATCTCACGACCCTGAGATCATGACCTGAGCCAAAATCAAGAGTCGGACGCCTGACTGACTGAGCCACCCGGGTGCCCCACAAAATACCTCTAGCACCTGTTTCCCCATCCCTGTACCTGGGGTCCTCCAGACACAATCACCTAAAATAGTGTGAGCCTCACGCCATCCCAGAGGTATGACTATGCCCCATTTTACTGATGAGGAACTGAAGGCACAGAGAGGTTAAGCTCCCCGCGCAAGGGCCCACAGGAGCTAGTGGGGAAAAAAGGTCCCGCAAACACTTGGCTCTCACCAGATGGCACGCAGGAAGCCCGGTGCTGGTACGCCGCCGGCCAGCTGCCTCGGCCCCCCAACCAGGTCTCTCTGCGACAGCTACTTTAGACCAGGAACTGGGGGTAGGGGTGGACAGGCACAGGATCCCCCCGGCCCCGCCGGTGCTCCTGGGGTCACACACACAGGGCAGAGCCCTTCAGGGAGGAAGAGCGTCCGTGAACGGGTGCTAGGAAGGAGAGCCGGAGTTACAGGTGGGCCTGTAAGGGACCAGCTGAGACGGGAGAATCCTGGCCTCCGGCTCCAAGAACCTCAGATTTGTGCAGCTGTGAGCGTGTACTAGACTCCGGCAGAACGTCCCCGAAGGGCACAGAGCCATCGGGGACCCCAGCCCTCCATTAACCAGGTCAATACAAAGCCTCCAGCACACCCCACGGCCAGGGAACCCCATTTTCAGCGTCTCTAAGTCTCTATGACTAAGGCAGTAATTAAATGCCAGGATAAATCTGTAGGTGATAATTGACTCTGGCGGGGGGGGGGATGTCTGACACCCCTTGGGCTGCAGAGCCTTTGAAGTTTTTATTTGAGCTTGGCCTGGAAGACGGGGACCTGCGGATGAGAGCCCCAGCCTGGCCCGCTGCCTGAAGCACGGAGGACCGGAGCTGTCTGTCCAGGACCAGGCCGGCGGTGGGGGGGGGGGGGGGGGGCAGCTGCAGAGAGAGAACTCCCTGCCTGGGCTCCGCGGGCCACTCACCGAGGCTCCCGCTTCCGGGGGACCTCCAGGGCTGTTTGCACCCGGCCTCGGGCCCCCAGGTGGGTGTCGGGCACTGGGCCCGGCCGGGAGGAGGGGAGGCCACCCCCTTCCCTGGGACCAGACACGGATTCTGGGTAGGGGTTTGTCTAAACACCAGGGAAGTAAATTGGTTAGAAACTAACAGTTGGCCAAATGGCTTTCTTTGGGGTTGTTCGAACAAACAGCCTGCCCCACAGGGCTGCCAAGGAAAGTGAAACCTTCCCCTTGCCGGCTGGGCAGCCGTCCCTGGAGCCTCCTTCGGGCGGACTCCTGACCTCTCCCTTTCCTCCCTGCACGCACAAGCGCAGGAAAGAAGGGCAGCGCCCCTGTCCTGGGGCCAAGAGCAGGGCACGGACCACAGGCCCGGCCAGGGCACAGCCTTCCTGGCAGCGGGCGTTCTCAAAATGCAAAAGCAGACCCGAGGGATGACCCAATGTCACAGGCGTGGCGAGTTCAACACCATCCCTGCCTGCCAACGTCCCTCAGGACCAAGCTGACTTCCATCGCAGGGCACCGTCCCAGGGGCTACGGGAGCAGGCGGGATGCAGGAGAAAGTCGCCGTAAAACACCAGCGCCAACGGGGAGCGGGGGGCCTCGTAACGGCAGAAACGGACTCCACGGTTCTGGAGGCCAGAAGTAAACGCCCCAGGTGCTGGCAGGCACAGGCTCCCCCGAAGGCTCTGGAGATGTCCTGGGCTCTTTCAGCTTCTGGTGGTTACCAGCAGGCCCCAGATGTTTCTTGGCCTGTGTTTTCACCACTCCAACCCCTGCCTGTCTTCACACGGCCTCCTCTCCTGCGTCTCTGGGTCTCTATTTCCTTCTTATAAAGGTCACTAGACATTGGACTCAGGGCCCACCCAACTCCAGGAGGACCTTATCTTAACTTGGTTATACCTGCAGAGACCCTGTTTACGAGATAGGGCCCATTCACAGGTTCCGGGGCCTCAACACATCTTTTTGGGGGACACGACGCACCCCACAAGCGGAGGGGAGCAGAGGTGAGAGGAAAGGTTCTGTGGAAGGACAGGCAGGTCCAAGGGCCAGGGGGACCTCCGGAGCACACAGGGTCACTGCTGCAGCCGGGATGGGCAGGAATGGGGCTGGCCCACGTGCGCCGTGCACACTGGACGCTGGGACAGCACTGAGCCCGTCGCCGTCTACAGGGCAGCCTCGTGCAAACAGCACGCTCTCCGTGCAGCAGGGGCCCAGCCACAAGACAAACAAGAGCCTCCCCGAACAAAAGCCTGGCAGGAAACACACACAAATGTCCCCAGTGGCTATCTTTGGCCCATTCCCGGCCTTCCTTCTGGTCTCCGGCGGGGTCTGCACACGTGTGCTGCAAGGGACCTGCCTCTGTGGGCCAGGCTTCATGTGGGGACACCAAAATTCGAATTCCCTATCCTTTTCCCACGTCACAAAACATTCTTCTTGTGGGTCTCTTTTCAACTTTGCAAAAACAGTCGCACAAAAGCAGGTAGCAAGCCATGTGGCCCTCCAGCCGGGCGAGGCTGTGGGTCCCAGGCCCTCACGTGTGCCTGTCAAAACAGGCGACGGCTCGTCCTAATTACAGCGGAAGCCGTGTCAGGAGGGCGAGCGGGGTCACGGGAACTCTCGGGAGCCCCTGCTCGATTTTCCCGAAACCTAAAACAGCCATACAAGGCAAAGTCTATGCCTCATTTAAGTTCACTGAGAGG